GAGAATAATTTGACACCCCCCTTTTTTGTGGCACCCCTCAAATACTGGAATACTGCTATCATGTCCCCCCTAGTCCTTTTCTCTAGACTGGCCAAACCTAAATCCTGCAACCGTTCTTTGTATGTGCTGTTGGAACCCCGGATGGCATAGGTCATTCGAGGGGGGGGGGCAAAGGGAGGTGGTCCTGCAGGCAGGCACTATGGCATGCTGGCTAGGGAATTCCAGGAGTTGAAATCCATACAACCCAAGGTTACCAAGTTGAGAAACACTGTTCTAAATTGTTATATTGCTGGCTTTTGTACTTCAGAGCCCACCAGATCTGGAAAAAGTGCTTTGGATGGGAGGCCACCTGGAAGCCCAAATCTCAACTAACTTGGGAAGATCCAGAAAGCCACTTCTGTGGCTGCTAAGACAATTGCTGGGAGGTGGCTGTTAGTTCCCTGGAAACCGAGATTGACTTTTAATAAACCACAATGTTCTTTGACCCATTTTTTCCCCCTGGCATCAAGCGTAAGGGATGATGACAGCCTGTCTTTCTGTCACTCTTTTACAGGGGGCAAATATCCAGAGCAGAACAAAGTACAGATGGTTGGGCATCATTTGGCGCCTTCTGGAGGTTGCCCAGATTTTTGCAGCCCAGATACAGTCTTCCCCACATCTCTTTCCCTCTCCCGCCGATACTTCCAACAAAATGAAAAATAATGTGGAGAAAAGCAAGGTTTTATACTTGGGCAGGAAAAACCAAAGGTACAAATACAGATTAGCCGAAACCTGGCTCAAAAACAGTAACTGTGAGAGGGACCTTGGAGTCCTAGTGGACAATCACTTAAACATGAGCTAGCCATGTGCAGCAGCAGCCAAAAAAGCTAATATAATCCTTGCTTGTATAAACAGGGGCATAGAATCAAGTATTAGTACCGCTTTATAAAGCCTTAGTAAGGCCACATCTAGAATACCGCATCCAGTTTTGGTATGTTTTAGTCTCCAGGCCTTTAATCATCTTGGTTGTTGTTTTGTGTAATTTTTCCAAAGTGTCAACATATATTTTTTATATGTGGTGACCAAAACTGGATGTGGTATTCCAGGTATCATGCTTTACTTTCACATTTCTAAGCAACAGAGATTCCAGTCCCTGTGGCCATCATAACTCAAGAATTACCTGTATTTCTTTCTTGGAACCAACTTATTCTTTTATGTATTTAGGAAGAGGCGTATTCATGTTAATTCAGGGGGCATGGATGACAGAGATGCTTGTGACTGGTTGCCCAAAGATGCTATTTTTCCAAAGGCAACTTTTTGAAAAAAGCACATTTTCCAGTTCTGAACAGAAGTTTTTTTCATTGAGAAGCGAGTTGCTTTTTGGGGGGGAAAAAACACCATTGGGACAACCACAACCTGGAGAAGACATGTCAAACTCACAACGTCATGTGACGTCGCACAACATATCGAGCCAGTTTTGCCATTGCCGACAATGGGGTGGGCGCGGCTTCCATGTGACGCATCAGTTTGACACCCCTGACCTGTTGGATGGAGAATCTCCAGAGAGAGTTCCTGACTGATCGTTTATACCAGAGCTTTTCAAACTTTTTCAAATGGCATTTCATTATTTAATTCCAGCATTTCCTGATCAAGAGGCAAGAGTCACCCAGATCATAAACATGCTCCAGGGAAAATGTTTGAAAATCACCTCCGAAGTCCCCATCCTTTCTATTCTACCTTAGAAAATATATATGTTTACATATAAAATGTAAATATAGAACTAAAGGGGACATGATAGCAGTATTGCAGTATTTGAGAGGCTACCACAAGGAGGAGGGGGTCAGTTTATTTACCAAAACACATGAAGACAGGACAAGAAACAATGGATGGAAACTAATCAAGGAGAGAGGCAACCTGGAATTAAGAAGAAACTTCCTAAGAGTGAAGACAATTAAGCAGTGGAACAGATTGCCTTCAGAAGCTGTGGATGCTTCATCATTTGAGGTTTTTAAGAAGAGATTGGACAACCACGTCTGAAATGGTAGGGACTCCTGCTTGAGCAGGGGCTGGACTAGAAGACCTCCAAGGTCCCTTCCAGCTCTATTCTGATTCTATTCTATGTGTACTTTTGGGGGGATACTTTGGCTACTTTTAGAATAAAAAATGACCTCATCCAATTTTGCGTGACCTGAAAATTTGATAAAAAATCCCCTCTTAATCTTTGGTTGAACGAATGATGAAAATAATAAACAAAGCCCAAGTTTCACGTTGTAGTATCCCATTTATTATCTTCCTCCAGTTTGATGAAGAAGTATATTTGAGCATGTTCTGAGTAAAAGTCTTGCATCCACTTAATTGTCATGCCATTCCAACTACACTAAATTAAACTTACTACTCAGAACGTCACTGGCTACTCGGTCAAGTGCTTTGCAGAAACCAATTTTTATTACATTTAAAGAAAATACTCAATCCGAAAATGAGGGAAGGCTGGTTGGGAAACATTTGTTTCTGACAAATCCATGCTAGTAAACCTCGAGTAACCTCTTTTTTCAGAGTGCTCACAGATCAATCTTTTACAATCTGCTTTCAAATCTTCAAAGCATCCATGTTGAATATTGATATAGTTTTAATCACTCAGATATGCTTGCTGTTTTTTTTTTCCTCATGCCAGCCTTTTCTTCTTTTACTAATCCTTATTTTTCCTCCACATACTTAAATCACCACACGCATTATCATATATCATTCAGTTGTCAATGAGCGTGGGCAAATGCAATTCAGCCAGGTTGCATTTTCTCCCTGCACAGCTTTAATTGCACAGTTGTTGCTTTTTCAGACAACTCTTGACTTCCAGAAATCACTTCATTGTCTTGTACCTGCTTAGCGCTCGATTTTTGCTTTCTACTTTTCCCAGATATCTGTGTAAAATGGATTTGGTTTCAGCTCCTGGAATCTTCTTCCTTCTTTGGAAAGCAGGAAAATATGTTTGGGTTACTTTGTCTTTTAACTGTTGTTTTTTGGTTTTTTCTTTTTTTCAACAGTTCATATACTCCCCTTATTTTCTTGTTAAAAGATTGGAAAAAGCTTTTTGGATTTGTTTAGTATTTTTCACTACCTTTCATGTATTACAGTTCTCTTTCTCTCTTTAATGCATTCTCTTCTTCAGCTCATTACCAAACTTTTCCTAGAGCCCCAATGGTTTCTTTTGTGCTCTGCTCATCTTTATTCCACGATTTTTGCTTTTATAAATCCCTCAAATCTTCACCTTTTTTCCTGGTACGCTCGATGGCTACAGAAACCTAGTACAGGTAGAACTCAATTTACAATCACATTTAAGCCCCAAATTTCTCTTACTCAAAAAGATGATTGTTAAGTAAAAAGTTTGCCCCATTTTACACTCTTTCTTGCCACAATTGTTAAGTTAGTAATACGGTTGTTAAGTGACTCTGGCTGCCCCATTGACTGCTTGTCGAGGTTGAAAAGGATGATCACATAACCCCAGAACTTTGCAACCATCATAAATATGAGTCAAGTATCTGAATTTTGATCACATGATTAGGGGGGTGCGGCAATAGTTGTAAGGGTGAAAAACAGTCAATACCTTTTTTCAGTGCCGTTGTAACTTGGAATGAATTGTTGTAATCTTTCTCTCTCTCCCGTTCACTCCCAGAGTAACTGTGTACCTTCCAGAGTTTTATTCTCTTAAAAAATCATAGTTGCAAGAGCCCTCCAACAAGATATGAGATGTTCCATGGTTTTTAGAAGTTTTATCTCATTTTAACAGTTAACCACAAGTGATCTATGCAGAAAGCGTTTCAGAGCTATGGAACAAATCAGAACAGGATAGAGGTAATGCTTGACGTACAACCATAATTGTGCCTGGCAAGTCTGGTCATAAGCTGCAAAAGCCGTAAAGCATAACCACATCCATTTTAAAACATATTACAACAGTCATTTAGTGAACACAGTGGCTGTAAAGTGAACAGTGTTTGCTATCAGCTGTTTTTTTGCCAGAAACCAGAAGTGGCAATAGCCATAGCACTTAGACTTATATACCACTTCACAGTGCTTTACAACCCTCTCTAAGCGGTTTACAGAGTCAGCAGCTTGCCCCCAACAGTCCTCATTTGACCGACCTCGGAAGGATGGAAGGCCGAGTCGACCTAGAGCCTATCAGGATTGAACTTCTGGCAGCCGGCAGTCAGCAGAAGTAGCCTGCAGTACTGCATTCTAACCACTGTGCCACCATGGCTCTAGGTAACCAGCTTAAATGCTGGCCAGTTGGCAAGTGCAAAATAAAATGTGGTCATGTGTCTTGTGGGGGTGATGTCAAAACTTCAAGTGTCACAGGTCCCATTTAAGGGGTCTGTTGTAACTTGAACAGTCAGTAAGCATCCAGTCATAAGTCAAGAACTACTTATATGTTTTTAGATTATTTTGGAAGTGCTAAACATGAATAACATCCTTGCCTGAAGTCTCAATCAGACAATGGCCCAAGCATTAAAAAACTGATGCCTTGAGTGTATTTTCTATGCCTTCAGTGATGTTTTCAACTTTCTTTACTATTATATCTGAGTATAGGACCTGAGTTCCAGGCCACATGGTCCGCAAAATTCCCGTCCCTCCAAATTTCCTCCAAATGCTGCCACCAGATTTTAATTTGGTATGTCAAAAGAGGGAAACAGATAAGTATATGACTTGGGAGTAATCATACTAGCCATTTTTTAAATTAATTTAACTAGATCTGAATTGAATTTAAGGAAAGAAATAATGTCAAATTGTAATACGGCTTTACCCACCACAATTATCACTCTCCACTAAAAAAAAATTACTTGGAGTATCTATGAGGTTCGTGGATGAGTTCCTGTTGTAAAAAGACTGATTTGACTGATGGGATTTTTTAAGCTATGCATTCAAGCTATGTCTATCTTTTGAACGCCCTCTTATGGGAAGGAAAATAACTGCAGACCAAGGATGTTCTTTTTACCACTTGATGCATATATATGGCGTCTCTCCTTTATGCCTCTTTTTATGAAGAGTAAAGGAGCTGCTCTGACTGAAGCACTTTCCACACTCCATGCATTTGTATGGTTTCTCCCCGGTGTGGATCCTCTTATGTGAAGTAAGAGCCCCATTTTCGCTGAAGCTCTTTCCGCACTCTGTGCATTTGTACGGTTTTTCTCCTGTATGGATCCTTTTGTGAGAAGTCAGGTGTGTACTTGTATTGAAGCTCTTCCCACACTCCATACATTTGTAGGGTTTCTCCCCGGTGTGGATTCTTCGATGTGCGGCAAAGCTACTGCTCTGACTGAAGCTTTTCCCACATTCTATACATTCGTAAGGTTTTTCCCCCGTGTGTATCCTTTTATGTGCAATGAGATGACTACTCTCACTGAATCGCTTTCCACATTCCAGGCATTCGTACGGTTTCTCTCCTGTGTGGATCCTTTTATGCGCTGAGAAGCTACTGCTCCGACTGAAGCTCTTTCCGCATTCTAGGCATGTATACGGCTTCTCCCCTGTGTGGATTCTTTTGTGGGACGTGAGATTGCTGCTCTTGCTGAAGATCTTCCCACATTCCAAGCATTTATATGGCTTGCCTCCTGTGTTTGTTCGTTTCTGTGGAGTACGGGGCAAGGTTCTCTGAATTCCTTTGGGAAAAAAAAAGAACAAGGATACAAAAATGAAATAAAGCTATAAGAAGCTGTGTTTGCTGACGAGAAAAGAACAGAACTTAAAGGCAAAGGAAGAACATATAAAAGTTGATACAGGCATACTTTGTTTTATTGCACTTTGCAGGTATGGCAGGGTTTTTCATGAACTGAAGGCTTATCACAACCCCGTGTTGAGCAAGTCTATTGGTGCCATGTTTCTATCAGCACTTGCTGTCTTACATTTTGGTAATTCTTGCACTATTGCAAACTTTTTCATTATTATTCATCAGAGTCGCATCTTTAGCAATAAAAGATTTTTAATTAAGGCATGTATATCATTTGTTTAGACATATTGCCTACGTAATGCAGGCAGTCCTCAACTTACAACTATTCATTTAACAGCCATTCCAAGATACAAAGGTGCTGAAAAAAGGGACTTAGGACTGGTCCTTTCCTTTTTACAATCGTCATCGCATCCCTGCAGTCACACCATTACAATCAAGGTGCTTGGCAATTGGCATACATGTACAATTGCTGTGGCATCCCACGGTAACGTGATTGCCATTTATAGGCTTCCCAGGAGCTTCCAAAAAGCAGTCAACGAGGGAAGCTAGATTCACCTGATGACCACAGTGATTTGCTTAACGACTGCAGCAAAAGAGGTCATAACATGATACAATTCATAATAATAATAATAATAAACCAACTAATGTACAGCACAGCTGCAGTTATAACAGAATACCTGGGATGCAAAATCAACAAAGAAGAAAAACAAACAAACAGTGCACCAGAAAAATGGAAGGTTAGACTAGAAAATAAGATCAGCAAGTTAAGATCACATGCAAGCAAGCTAGAACAGATGAAAGAAAAGAAGCTGAAGAACAAGAAGACCAAAGAATACCTAATCAAGAAATACCACTTAGAAACAAGGAAGATCAAGGAAGCACTGGAAATAATAAAGCAACAAATAACAGCTATAGCCAGGAAAATCAGTAGATATGAAGCTCGAATTGCAAACTATAGGCAGAACCTCCAATTTCAATCCAATCAGAAACGTTTCTACCAATCCATCAATGGAGAAACTGCAAGAATCAGTCAGTACCTGACAAGGAAGAAACAGTGCAGTTCTGGAAGCAGATATGGGATAACCCAAAGAAATACAACAAGGATGCGGCTTGGTTAAAAGAGGTGGATGCAAATAAAACAGAAGTTGAAATGAAAGAACTAGTAATAACAACAAAAATGGTAGAAAAAAGAGCAAAGAAAATCAAAAATTGGTCAGCACCAGGTGAAGATGAACTGCATGGGTTTTGGTTGAAACATCTAACTGTTATACACCCACTCATTGCCAAACAGTTCAACAATATACTACAAGGAGGAGAAATTGAAAAGTGGCTAACAACTGGGAAAACCTACCTAATAATGAAAAATCCAGCAAAAGGGGCAACACCAGGTAACTACAGGCCAATTACCTGCTTACCAACAACTTTCAAATTACTAACTGGTGTAGTAGCTGATGCAGTGCAACAGCATCTAGTTGAAAACAATCTCTTTCCACCTGAGCAGAAAGGAAACCGCCCCAATAGCAGAGGAACAAAAGATCAACTCCTAATAGACAAAATGATCTTGGAAAACTGCAAGAGAAGGAAGACCAACCTGAATGTGGCATGGATTGACTACAAAAAGGCATTTGACTCTCTGCCACATGATTGGATAATAAAGTGCCTAGAAATAACAGGAGTCAGTAGAAACATCAGAAAATTTGTGCAAAGATCGATGGCACAATGGAAGACACAGTTGCAGATCAATGGTGAGAGGCTGGGAGAGGTTAATATCAAGAGAGGAATATTTCAAGGAGATTCATTATCACCATTACTATTTGTTATTGCACTGTTTCCTCTGTCAACAATACTGAATAACTCAGGACATGGCTATCAAACATCAAAAACATCTGCCAGACTATCCCACCTCCTTTATATGGATGATCTGAAGCTGTATGGAAAAACATCATCTGAAATAGAATCGCTGCTCAACACTGTCCGTATATATAGCCAAGATATTGTAATGGAGTTTGGCTTGGACAAATGTGCCACACTTACTATCAAACAAGGAAAAATAATGAAAACTGAAGGAATCAAGATGCCCCACGAAAATAACATTAAGAGTCTGGATGAGGAAGAGTACTACAAATACTTGGGTATCCTTCAAGCTGACAACATCAAGCACACTGAAGTCAAGAAAAAGATTAGAGGTGAATACATCAAGAGAGTGAAGAAGATCTTAAAATCCAAACTCAATGGAGGAAATACCATAAAGGCAATCAACACCTGGGCAATCCCAGTCATTAGGTACACAGCTGGAATAGTGGACTGGACTCAAGCAGAACTAAAAGCAATGGATAGGCAGACCAGAAAAATAATGACAATGAATCATGCCCTTCATCCACGCAGTGACATTGATAGACTTTATCTACCAAGGCAAATAGGTGGGCGTGGAATGCTACAAGTACATCAGATGGTTGAAGAAGAAAAAATGGCTTTGGAAGAATATCTGAAGAACAATGATGAAGATGCACTGAAATTAGTATATCAGGAAGGCTTACTAACTACTGGAGAGACCAAACTGGCCTACAAGAAAGACCAAATGAAGAACAGAATAGAGGCATGGGAAGACAAAGCACTACATGGCCAATACATGAAAAAAATAGCTGGGAAAGCAGATAATAATAAAACCTGGCAATGGCTAAGAGCAGGAAAATTGAAGAAAGAGACCGAGGGACTAATTCTGGCTGCACAAGACCAAGCCTTAAGGACAAATGCATACAAAGTCAAAATTGAGAAGACAGCAACAGACAGTAAGTGCCGCCTATGCAAAGAAGCTGAAGAAACAGTGGACCACTTGGTAAGCTGTTGCAAGAAGATTGCACAGACTGACTACAAGCAGCGGCATGACAAAGTAGCAACAATGGTGCATTGGAAGATCTGCAAAAAATATCATTTGCCTGTAAGCAAAAACTGGTGGGATCATAAAATAGAGAAAGTCATAGAAAATGATAAAATTAAACTGCTCTGGGACTTCAGAATTCAAACAGACAAGCACCTGCAACATAACACCCCAGACTTAACAATTGTCGATAAGAAAGACAAAAAAGTCTGGATAGTGGACGTGGCAGTGCCTGGAGACAGCAGAATAGAAGAGAAAGAACTGGAGAAGATAACAAAATACAAAGACCTACAAATAGAAATAGAAAGACTGTGGCAAAAGCAAGCAAGGGTAGTACCAATAGTCATAGGCTCCTTGGGTGCAATCCCAAAACAACTGGAGCGCCACTTGAACACCATTGGCATTGACAAATTCGCTATTAGTCAATTGCAAAAGGCGGCCTTATTAGGAACTGCTTCCATCCTGCGACGATATCTGTAATACCATCAAACATCCACATCTGCCTATCCCAGGTCCTGGGTAAGGACTCGATAGGTAGACAAAATGCCAAATCCAGTCTGAACATCTGGCTGACTGTGCGATGATCGATAATAATAGTAATAATAATAAAGTTGGAAGGGGCCTTGGAGATCATCTAGTCCAGTGGTTCTCAACCTTTTTAATGCCACGACCCCCAACCGGTCGTAAGTCGAGGACTACTCAACCTGTTGTAAGTCAAGGACTACTCAACTGGTGCAGCACCGTTTGCAGAATGGGACTTTTGGCGGGCTCACCAGGGCAGAGACAGCCTGGACAATTCCTATTGGCTTTTGAAAGCCAATAGAATTAGACTCTATTCAAGAGAGTCTATTCTATTGGCTTTCAAAAGCCAATAGAATCAAAGGGAATAGCACAGCTAAGGAAAAGGGGGGAAAAAATGGCGGACTGCGTTGTTTGGCGACCCCCGTGAAATGGTCGTTCGATCCCAAATGGGGTCCCGACCCACAGGTTGAGAACCACTGATCTAGTCCAACCCCCTGCTCAGGCAGGAAACCCTATACCATTTCAGACAAATGGCTGTCCAATCTCTTCTTTAAAAATTCCAGTGTTGGAGCATTCATAGCTTCTGGAGGCAGGTTGTTCCACTGGTTAATTGTTCTAACTGTCCGGAAGTTTCTCCTTAGTTCTAGGTTGCTTTTCTCCTTGATTAGTTTCCATCTGTTGCTTCTTGTCCTGCCTTCGGGCGCTTTGCAGATTAGCTTGACTCCCTCTTCTTTGGGGCAGCCCCTGAGATACCGGAACGCTGCTATCATGTCACCCCTCGTCCTTCTCTTCATTAAACTAGACATACCCAATTCCAGCAGCTGTTCCTTATATGTTTTAGCCTCCAGTCCTCTAATCATCTTTATTGCTCTTCTCTGTACTCTTTCTAGAGTCTCAACATCTTTTTTACATTGTGGTGACCAAAACTGGATGAAATATTCCAAATGTGGCCTTACCAAGGCATTATAAAGTGGTATTAATACTTCACGTAATCTTGACTCTATCCATCTGTTAATGCAGCCTAGCACTTTGTTGGCTTTTTTGGCAGCTGCAGCACACTGCTCGCTCATATTGAAGTGATTGTCCACTAGGACTCCGAGATTCCTCTCAGTTACTATTATTGAGCAAGGTATCACTTAGCAACAGAAGTTCCATTCCCAATTGTCACCAAAAGTTGAAGTCTACATAATAGCCTGAGCGTAACTTTGTGAACACTGGAAAACAAAAAATAATAATTCCTGTGACTCGCTTTATTGTGATATTGGCTTTATTGTGGTCGTCTGGAACTGAACCAGCAATATCTCTTGAGATATGCCTGCATTTTACTATTCCCAATCTCTGTTCCTTAATAAATATGACAGACAACAGAAAACCTTCTGTACCGTATTAAAAATATTGCTTACCTTAATTTAATAGATGCTCAAAAGGCTAGAGTTTTTAATAGACTAAAAATTTATGAAGAGCAAAGTTCGAAGGAAAATTTGAAAAGAGAGATACAGACGGAATAAAACTCTTTAGAAGTTTGCATTTTGAAATAAGACAACGTGCTAAACTTTTCGTTCTTCCTTCTCCTTATACAGATGGGAAACTGACCGTAATTTGGGCTCATGATTTCTCTTTGCATCAACAAAGCCCTGGAATTCATAGTACAGGAGGGCTCTTACCCAGCGAGGCCACATTCCTGGAGTTTTCCAGCATGACTTCTCCATGGAGAGCTTTTTGATGAGGATCCAGCTGAGCCCACTCCTCCTCAGAGAAATCCACAGCCACCTCTTCGAAGGACACCAGACCCTGAAACAGGAAACCTATACTCCCAATTAACAGAAAAAGGTCCATTTGTTCACAAACCCTAAAAATGGACCTTTGAAGCGAATTAAACAAGGCAACGTTTTAGCAAGAAAATTGACAGCAGACTTATTATCAACTTGATTGTTTCTTGTGGGAATTTCAGGTCCATTTGGTGAAAGAAACCCCAGTTTCCTTCTAGATCCATTGGCAGATAGGTTCTGGACACTCCACCTATCCCTGGCTCCAGTTCTTCCTGGTGTGTGCAGGCAGGGGCGGGGAAGTCCTCTCTGACATTTCAGCCCTATGGCCTGTGGGACCAGACCCAAGGTCAATACAACACCTTCATGAGTGTTTTGAAGAGCCCATCCCAGGATCTGTCTGGCTGACATCAAAGACAAGCCACTTTCAGCTTCTCACTGGATTCCTGCGGAATGTGCTCCTGCTGGGAGCCACTGGCAGGCTGGAAGATAAGAATTAAGCTGCTACCTGAACTGGAGATCCAGCTGCTGTCTCAGCGCCAACAGAAAAAGGAGATGCCCCTACAAAGACCAGCGACATTGTTCTGTCCCCTAAGAGGGAGACAAAAATTTTGCGGAAGCATAATTAGTAAAATGTGGGGAGATACCACACTCAAGAGGATCCAATGAAGAAGAGAGAGCTACAGACTCTCTGGGAAACTTTATGTATGTGGCTTGGAAGAAACCCTCTCCCTTACCTCGAGAAGTGTCCCAACTTTGGTCATTCTGGGAGGGGACAGTGGGAAGCAGCTCCTGAGGGGGATCAGACAGGTCTCTCCTCCTCATGGGATGTTCAGTGATCATCTCCAGAATCTGTAACTCCAGGCAGAAAAAAAGGAGATGAATGAAGGGAACAGCACAGAGATAAGATAACTTTTACTGTCATTTTTTTTATTGTGGGCACAACGGCACACATCAAAAATAAAATTTAGTTGCCCGCTCTCAAAGTGAAACACATACATGACACACACCTAGACATACTATATTCAACATATGTATAGACCCATACCCCTACATATACGTAACAAATAAATATTAAATACTATCCATCTTGAATATATAACGGAAGGAGGAAGCTTGAGAATTAATGCTGTACGGAATGAAACTATGGCTGAATCTGGATGTTCTGCTACGGATACCACGAAGCCTCCTCCCAGAAGGTAACAAGGAAAACAGATCGTGAAGAGGATGTGTAGTGTCCCAGATAATCTTACGGACCCTGCTCAAGCAACACTTCTGTGCTATATCCTGGATGGGAGGGAGGGAACTGCCAATGATTTTTTCGGCCATCCTCACCACTCTCTGCACCGCCTTCCTGTCTGAAGCAGTGATGCTTCCAAACCAGACTGTGATGCTGTATGACAGGATGCTCTCGATCGTCTCCCTGTAGAAAGTGGTCAGGACAGGGGAAGGAAGATGTGCTTTTCTCATGCGACGCAAAAAATGCAGGCGCTACTGTGCCCGCTTCACCAGTTTCTCACTATTGAGTGACCAAGCCATACTACTCATTAGCTGCACACCCAGGAATTTGATGCTGGTAACCATTGTGGGTAGAGAAGCATGTCCTTCTCTGCCCACAACTTTACAGCCTTTAAGACCAGAAACTGTAATTAAGAAATAATGAAGAGTTCAAACATTGTTTATCTTTCCTAACATCCCTTTAGAAGTCTTAGAATAAGCGTCTCTTACCTGCAGTTCTCCCTGCTCCTTCTGCTCCTCTGTTTGGCTCAAAAGGAAGCCTTCAGCCAGGGCCACCGCCTGGGAGCTGGTCTCTGCTCCACACTCCCGCACCCAGCTCTCCATCTCTGAAGGCAGGAGAGCCAGGAACTGCTCTAGAAGCACCAGATCTAACATCTGGGCCTTGGTGTGCCTTTCCGGCTGCAGCCATTGATGGCAAAAGCGATGGAGATGGCTGCAAAGCTCTCGCGGCCCTTTGGCGTCCTGGTAGTGGACATTCCTGAAGCTCCAGCGCTGGATCTCTGAATTGATGGCTTCCTCCTTTAGGGTCTTCCGCCCAGTTCGTACCCAAGTTCCTTGACGGCTCCTTTTCCCAGCTTTCTCAGCTGCTCGGTGTTTTGACTCCATTTTCTTTTTGTTCTTCAACCCGAATCCAAATGGGGCCAAGAGGCCTCCTGGACCCATAAAAGTCTTTCCAATCATAGAGGAGGATTCATGAGGAGGTCCTGGATGTGTCTCATCAAGCAATTGAGCACTCTCTTGTTTCTGAGCCCTTTTGATCACCAGGCAAGATGATAATAGGTTAAATATCCATGGAGGGAGAGAAAAAAACAACAGGCCAAGATATTTATCTTCCTTTGATCATTGAGAAAAAAATGATAGTCCTCCCTATCAGATTTACCTTATTTTCATCCCTTGTACCCTTCCAGCCTGAATAACTCCTCTTGAGAGACACTTAACCAACAATCCCTCCAGAGTTTGCACTCACACCTTGCACTCACAGAGGGATAGAATCAAGATCACATGAAGTGTTAATACCACTTTACAATGCCTTGGTAAGGCCACACTTGGAATACTGCAACCAGTTTTGGTCACCGCGATGTTAAAAAGATGTTGAGACTGTAGAAAGAGTACAGAGAAGAGCAACAAAGATGATTAGGGGACTGGAGGCTAAAGCATATAAGGAAAGGCTGCTGGAATTGGGTATCTCTAGTTTAATGAAGAAAAGGACGAGGGGGGACATGATAGCAGTGTTCCGGTATCTCAGGGGCTGCCACAAAGAAGAGGAAGTGAAGCTATTTTCCAAGGCGCCTGAAGGCAGGACAAGAAGCCACGGGTGGAAACAAATCAAGAAGAGAAGCAACCTAGAACTAAGGAGCAGCTCCCTGACAGTGAGAACAATTAACCAGTGGAACAACCTGCCTCCAGAAGTGGTGAATGCTCTAATACTGGAAGTTTTTAAGAAGAGACTGGACAGCCATTTGTCTGAAATGGTATAGGGTTTCCTGCCTGAGCAGGGGGTTGGGCTAGATCAGTGATGGCGAACCTTTTAGAGACTGAGTGCCCAAACTGCAACCCAAAACCCACTTATGCATCGTCGGGTGCCGGGTGGGTATGGCCCATTCGGTAGGTGTGGCCAATTGGGTGGGCATGGCCCATTGAGTGGGCATGGCTGCAGTGGTAATGGCAGACTGGGTGGGACTAAAAAGTTCAATCAATCAATTCCAACTTTGCAAGGTCTTTTTTCCCCCCCGCAAGGTTGAAATTGACTGATTGAACCTTTTTTTTTTGTACACGGCAGCGGAGGCCTAAAGCAAAAAGGTTTTATAAAACCCAGCCAAAGGCCTAGGATTGGGGCGACAGCGCGCGTGCCCACAGAGAGGGCTCTGAGTGCCACCTCTGGCACCCGTGCCATAGGTTCGCCACCACTGGGCTAGATGACCTCCAAGGTCCTTGCACCAGGGCTGCAGGCAGCGTTGTCTCCTAACACATGGTTACTCTGGACATACTTGGGCCATGGTGACAACCAAACCCCATCTTTACTATACCTCACAGATGCTCCCACTTATCCATTTATCTCAAGGGTTGCCACAAAGAAGAGGCAGTCAATCTATTCGCCAAAGCACCTGAGGGAAGGACAAGAAGCAACGGATGGAAACTAATCAAGGAGAGAAGCAACTTAGACCAGGGGTGCCAAAGTGAGCCAAATGCGTGATGCTGAAATCGCACCCATCCCATTGCCGGCAATGGAAAAAAAGTCATGATACGTCACGAAACATTATGTGACGTTGAGAGTTTGACACCCCTGACCTAGACTAAGGAGAAACTTCCTGACAGTTAGAACAATTAATCTGTGGCATAACCTGCCTCCAGAAGTTGTGAATGCTCCAACACTGGAATTTTTTAAGAAGAGACTAGACAACCATTTGTCTGAAATGGCATAGGCTTTCCTGCCTGAGCAGGGGGTTGGACTAGATGACCTCCAAGGTCCCTTCCCACATCCTCTTCTCTCCTCTAAATCTCCAAACCACATGCCAGTCAACATACCGGTCCTACATGCACCAATCACCCTCTGTATCACACATATTTGGGCAGCACACACATCAGTGCAAAGGAACAGTGTGGTTTCAGAACCCTTTGTCTTCTCTCCCATCACCTTTTGTCCTCCCTCATTTGGGGGAGGTCTTCTGCAGAGGTGCAACTCAGTTCCAGGGGCAGCAGAAAAAGCTCTTTCTAATCCTGCCAACCATTACATTTGAGGCTCAGAATGAGACCCTTCCCAGAAGTTTGAAATGACAGTGTTAGTCGAGGGCAGAAAGCCTGTTTTCCATATATCTTTTTTTGGTAGGAACGCTGAGAAGCGATCTTGGTTTATGAAAAATGTAAGCCCATTCTCAAGGTTTCTTCCCATCCGCCACCCCAGAATCCCCTTTTCCAACTCTTTCTGGGTTTTCACTGAAGTTTGGAAAGCAAACGAGCCACTCATACTTTTTCATCCTCTTCCTACACTTGGGTTCTACATTTAGGCAAGAAAAACAAAATGCACAGGTACAGTATAGGTGGTACCTTGCTCAATAGTAGTAACTGGGAGAGGGATCTCAGAGTCTCAGTGGACAATCACTTAAAAAGGAGCCAGCCGTGTGCTGCACCTGCCAAAAAAGCCAACACAGTGCTGGGCTGCATTAACAGAGGGACAGAATCAAGATCACATGAAGTATTAATACCACTCTACAATGCCTTGGTAAGGCCACACTTGGAATACTGCATCCAGTTTTGGTCACCATGATGTAAAAAAGATGTTGAGACTCTAGAAAGAGTACAGAGAAGAGCAACAAAGATGATTAGGGGACTGGAGGCTAAAACATATAAGGAACGGTTGCTGGAATTGGGTATGTCTAGTTTAATGAAGAGAAGGATGAGGGGGGACATGATAGCAGTCTTTCATTATCTCGAGGGCTGCCATAAAGAAGAGGGAGTCAAGCTATTCTCCAAAGCGCCTGAAGGCAGGACAAGAAGCAAGGGATGGAAACTAACCAAAGAGAGAAGCAACCTAAAACTATGGAGAAATTTCCTGACAGTGAGAACAATTAACCAGTGGAACAACCTGCCTCCAGAAGTTGGGAATGCTCCAGCACTGGAAGTTTTTAAGAAGAGACTGGACAACCACTTGTCTGAAATGGTATAGGGTTTTCTGCCTGAGCAGGGGGTTGGGCTAGAAGACCTCCGAAGTCCCTTTCAACTCTGTTATTCTATTCTACACTCCTAACAGATGTGGAAGTAAAGGGGGGAAGCACCACGAGGTGACCCTCCCCGTGGGAACAAAAGCAGGGGAGCAGCCCACCCATCTCCCTTCCTCCCTCCCCCAAAAGCATGCACAGCCAGGAGCAGGAATGGAGGAGTCTCCCCCCTCCCTCCCAGACTAGGGATTCTGAGTGCAGCAAACCCTTTGTGTGTTGGGGGAGGGTTGTCTTTCCCTCCTGCAACCGGCTCTGGAGTGTTTTGGGGGGAGGAGATGCACTTTCCTCCTTTTCTTGCAAGAACCGCCGGGGAGGCTCTGCCTACTGCTGGAAGGGGGAGTTGTTTCCTCCCGGGGAAGCTATGGGTCGCGGGATCCCCCCCCTCCAGCCTCCCCCCCCCACCTCGATTCCCAGGGAGCAACTCACAGCTGATTCTCCCCCTCCAGCAGGATTCGGAACGGAGCATGCGCAGGGGCGCTCGAAGGCAGGCGAGCGAGCGCGCCCTAGTGGGACCTGCGAGCAATGGCCGCATCTCTAACAGCGCGATCGCGGTGGACCTTAGAGGCCATTCAGACCGACCTCTATTTAGACCAAGATAGAAGTATAAAGTTGGAAGGGACCTTATAGGTCATCTAGTCCAACCCAGTAGGATACCCTATATTACTGTGTGTCCAATCACACATGGCCAATAAAGAATCAATCAATCCAACCGATCAATCAAGCTAGCTATCATCCTATCCTATCCATACAATTTCTGACAGATGGTTGCCCAATCTCTTCTTGGAAGCTTTTAGTGATGTCAATTAATATAGATGTTAATGTAGATGTCAGCTAACATTGTTTTGGGAGCCCACCGGTTGGAACTCAAGAACAAACTTTTCCCTGGCTCCGTCCCACATCTTGGTGGATCCCTTCTATTTCCTGTCCTCTTATATTTTAAAGGTTAAGGTTTTTATTTATTGTTATAATGTTCTCTTCCGCATTTTGTTCAAGCTGCCTAGAGTGGCCTTTAGGGAAACACACACATATCCGGGAACTGAACCTGGGTCTCCTGCCACATGCATCCCCAGATGTGCAATTAGCTGTCCTCTGAAGTTTCCTCCAGATGTTACCACCAGATTTTAATTTGGAATAAGCTGAAAGAGGAAAATGGATAAATGCATGCCAGCAATCTTCATTAAACTTGATCCAAACTGAATGTAAAGATAAGAAGTGGAGATATTTATCCTGAAGCCAAAGATTTTTTTTCAGTCCTGGTTCTGTGCTGGAAGAAGCTTCTCAGAATCAGAACAGAGCTGGAAGGAACCTTGGAGGTCTTCTAGTCCAGCCCCCTGCTCAAGCAAGAGACTCTATACCATTTCAGACAAGTGGTTGTCCAGTCTCTTAAAAATCTCCAGTGATGAAGCACCCACAACTTCTGACAGCAAGCTGTTCTACTGGTTAATTGTTCTCACTGTTAGCAAGTTTCTCCTTAATTCCTTGGGTGTCTCCTGCTGGTTCCCCCTCCAAGTTGAATCTTTCATTAAAGAAAGCAGAAGTGGGGGGGGGAAAAGGATCCTATTGCAACTTTTCCCCAATTCTCCGCTTTCCTATTTTTGCACAAGATTTACATAAAGCTGCTTTTAGTCTGGGCATCACTCCGTATCCTTCCCGGCTCTTTTGGGATTTCAACCTATGGAGATTTAAGGGGTTTCTCCCTTCCTAGTTTGCCTGGTTTCATCCTGGCTTTTTAATCCCCACCGATTCCAGTGGGTCTCTTCTGCCACTTTGTGGCTCCTTTGTTTGGGTGTCCACTTTTTTGGGCTGTTGAAAAGCCTCAATCCTTTTTTTGCCCATCCCCTTTTTGGGATGGAGGGAAAGGGGATAAACCCCCATTTGAGAGCACAATTCCTGCAAAACGTCTGATTTTCCTGCTCGAGTTTGCAATGCAAAAAAGGTCCCTGTCTCCTCTCAAGGGTCCCAAAAGTGCTTTTTTCAAGAGGCAAATCAATTTTCTTTTTTAATCTTGAAGATGTTTCCCTCTTCATCCAAGATAAGATAAGATAACCTTTATTGTCATTTTTATAGTGTAGGCACAATGGCACACATCAAAAATGAAATTTAGTTGCCCACTCTCAAAGTGAAACACATACATGACACGCACAGAGAAGTTTCTTCAGAGCTGAAGACGTTTCTTGCATGAGAAGCAAAACTTCTCCAAGGAAAAGCCGAATGCTGCATCCCGTTTTGGTCACCACATATAGAAAAAAAGAGGTTGACACTTTGGAAAAAGTACAAAGAACAGCAACCAAGATGATTAAAGACCTGGAGACTAAAACATACAAAGAACAGTTGCAGGATTTGGGTTTGGCCAGCCTAGAGAAAAAAAGGACTAGAGGAGACATGATAGTAGTATTTCAGTATTTGAGAGGGTTCCACAAGGAGGGTCTCAATTTATTTTCCAAAGCACCAGAAGGCAGGACAAGGAACAATGGAGGGAAACTAATCAAGGAGAGAAGCAACCTAGAATTAAGGAGAAACTTCCTAACAGGACAATTAACCAGTGGAACAGCTTGCCACCAGAAGTTGTGGGTTGTGAGATGTAAAAAACCCAAATTTTGATACAATATGAAGACAAGTCTGGTTAACAAGACAAAGGTTTATTGGAGAATAACATAAACAGAATAAAAGAGAAAAGAAAAAGAATAGAAGAGAGGAGCGTTTTGCAAATGCAGCCCCCTGGATCCTTCCCTATGGACTGGATTCCAGGAGCACACTGGCCTGGTTTCAAGATCTGCATTTTATACCCCTACAATGCATGTCACATCTAAGAAGCTCTTTCATCTTTATAAATGTACTTTGAAGTTGTACTTTGTTAACCTGACCTCTTTGTCCATCTGCTGTTATCTTGTTTAATTGTAATTCTCACCTTGGGTCAAAATCCCCCTCTTTGATAATAGGATTTCTACTCAAAGTGTAAGTTCCTGTGTCCGGAGGATTTTTAGGCAGGAAATAGTAAATATTTGGTCATATATTGGCATTGCATTGTTACATTTGTGTTACAGTGTTACATTTGTACTAAAGAGACAGTTTCATATAATGGCATTACATTTCTACAATTATTTCTACAATTATTAAAAGAATAACTTTTATTTCCTTCATGGGTGCTTCATCATCACTGGAGGTTTTTAAGTGGAGACTGGACAGCCACCTGTCTAAAATGGTATAGGGTCTCCTGCTTGAGCAAGGGGCTGGACTAGAGGACCTCCAAGGTCCCTTCCAGCTCTATTCTGATTCTATTCTAAAAACTAAGGAAGTCCCTCTTAAAAAAGCACCTTTGGGACAGCCATGACCCGGATGACTAAGAATCTCCACAGACATTCTCCTCTCAAGGCTTTATCCAGGAAATTTTGGAGAGGGGGTGCTAAATGCTCCCCGAGATCCCCTCCCTCCTGGCGAGCTTCGACTTTTCCTGCCTGATCAAGTTTGGGGTCTTCCTTGCCCCCCTTGCTCGGCACGTGCATGCAAAGGGAATCCAAAGGTGGGAAGACTGACTCTGATTTCACGTCCTTCAGCCCGGTTCCTACGAGGTGGTTCTTCGCGTGTCTGACGCCCTCCCTTCCCAGGAGTCTCCCCTGAGGAAGTGAAACGGTTACAGCGAGCGAGCGCGAAGTCCTAGAGAGGCCAGGCGTTGGGCGACGTCCGTTGGGAGGCGCGCATGCTCAGTCGCACTGCAGGCCAGCGGGGGCTGCCCCTCCCGCTGTTGGTGCCTGGAGGAAACCCATTGGGAGGGGAGCGAAGGGAGGGGAGCCCGCCGGATCACGTGGGCTTGAATGAGCCAATGGCGGGAAAGAGGCGCCTGTCAGATTTGGGAGGGAAAAGAAAATCGCTGGGTAGCCTCAGCCGCTTCTAGGCTGGGCGCGAATCTTCCTCCTGGCTCTGAGGGGAATTTTGGGTCTCCTGGTAGCCTTTCAATTCGTGTCCCGTCGGAGAGAGAAAGACCTGGAGTGTTCGGCCGGCACAAATATTTGTCCTTTTGTGTGGTCTCCTGAAGCATTTCACTGCGTTCGTCTCTCTCTCTCTCTCTCTCTCTCTTTCTCTCTTTCACACACACACACACACACACACACGTACAGAGGATGATATAGTACTATAGGATCTCCTGCTTGAGCAGGGAGTTGGACTAGAAGACTTCCAAGGTCTCAAACACAAACACAGTATAGTATAGTATAGTATCTGCTTGAGTAGGGGCGCCTCTCTCTCTCTCTCTCTCTCTCTCTCTCTCTCTCACACACACACACACACACACACACACACACACACACACACAAAGCTTGGACTTGAGGCCAAAAGCCAAGACAAAAGTGTGGAGCCCCTGGCAACCTCCTGGGTCCTGACAAGGTTGCCCCCTGGGAAAGGGATCTATGGGGCTTGCACTTCCTTTCAGAAATCATCCGTGTGCCTTAGGATCTCCTGGTGGTCTTCCAGCAGAGCCCCAACAAAGAGAAGAGGCTGAATACTTGTTCCTGGTTGGGGGTCCCCTTTCTCAACTTCAGACAGGATGGAAGAAAGAGATGTTTCCAAAGTGCATCAAACAGAATCTGGTTCTATGAAAGAAGAGGATGAGAACTCAAGTGGATGGACTCGGCTTAGCGGCAATAGAGCATCGCTGGAAAAGGATCCAGTTAGGCAGAGTGTCCTGGGCAAAATCTCTATGTAGTCACTAAGCTAAGCCTTATGAGGGCACAGAAGGAAAGTCAAATGTTAAACTATCTGTTAATTTCTGTCCTGCATCCTAGCACTGTGGTGACACAAAGCTCCTAAAAACAGCCTCAATTTTAGCCCTTAAAATGAGTGGAAGTTGGCTTTTCTTTACTCGAGGCAAGGATGTCTTCCAAAATACCTTACTCCAAGCAATCAAGCAGGCTTTGCAACTTAATTCATCTTAGATTTTTTTCTTGTATTAAAAGAGAAAAGAATTGGAACAAATGTAAACCTGAAACAAAGAGATTACACATTAGCTTTTCCTGAACCTTTGCTTTTAAGTCTAGATGAATGTCTGATCTATTCAAGTTAGAGAACAAAAAGGAGGGCGTTTTGCATGCTGCTCTAGGCGGTATCAGATGATTCATCAACCACATGCCAGACCCAAACCTGGATAAATGGAGAGGGTTGGGGAATCCAATGGTGAACTACTCTATAAAAAAAAATCTCACCAGAATACTTCATGGCAATAACTCAACATGACTCAGAAATGGATAACAATAGTGGGACCCTCCAGGTTGATTGACAGTCTGCAAGCTATTGGAGAAGAGCAAGAGCTAGCCTTTAGTAGTCAAGGTTTTTATAACGCTATTGGAGGAAAGCCGTTGGGAAGCCTAGCAATCGATGATGCCTATGATGAAGGAGGTCGCCTACAGTATACAAAGTTAGTCAAATTGAAACATGGAATGTTAGAAGTATGTCCCTTGAAAAACTTGAAATTATAAAAAGAGAAACGATTAGAGTGAACATACACATTCTTGGCATCAATGAGTTACACTGGACAGGCAGAATCCCAATAATCATCAGATAAGTTTATGGTTTATTTTTCTGGAAACGATATCATCAGAAAAAAAGAAGTTGCTTTCTGCAGAAGCAAACAAGTGACTAAATGTGTTGAGAATCAGAGTGTACAACAACCACATAATCTCTATCCAAATTCAAGGCAAGCCATTCAACATCATCATACTACAAGGCTACATTCCAACTGTACACTCAAATGATGATGAAACTGAACTTTTTTACAATAAGCTTCAATGTACTCCCAATATAAAAATATTTTGTATATTATGGGCAATTTCAATGCAAAATAGGCCAAAGAGAGAATAATAGGCAAGTTTGAGCTAGATGAACGGAATAATGCTGGTTATCGCCTAGTCTAGTGCAATTTGCTAATGTTTTTGCCTATCAAAATTTGGATGCTTGGCAACTGACTCATTGATGATGTTTGCATCAGCTTTTATAGAATAGAATAGGAATATCTTATTGTGTAACTCACAACGAAATTAAGTGCTGTCCAGTGTACACTACACACAAGCAAAAACCACAAATAAAAACATACATTATATACACACATCCTTTACATTCCACCCACCATTGTGCTGCCCCCAATATTGCACTTTAATGTTGCACTATATAGTAGTATTTAACATGCTCAACTTACCCATTTTGTTGGCGAGGGATCTTATGTTGGCAAGAAAAATGCTCGGAAGCGGTGGTTTGTTTGGGTGCTTATGTAGCCTCACTAGCACACCAGCTGGGCAGCCTCGCTTTTGCTTCTTGTTCCTTCGCTTTCTCTGCCTCTTCCTGCTGGGATAGTAACCCATAGAGAGCTTGGAGTCCTAGCTGCATCCGCTGGTATATGGTGCAAGCAGAGAAACTCAGTTATAATAGCCTGCTCGCTTTTTAGACTGATTTGAAGATTGTGCCGGCCATAGGTGTTATTTGCCCGACAGGGCATGACAAAAACAAGCAACAACAATACTTACAACACACACACACAAAAACAACCTCGCAGCACAAAAAAACCTTGCAGACACACAAAAACCTCTCAAAAATGGAAGGCTTTGGATGAGAGATCTCGCAGACAAAGAAACTGCAGCAGAGAGGCTGGAGACAGCTCGCTTGATCATCAAGATCTTCAAAAGGTGAGTCTCCACAGGCCTAGACCTGGTGAGGCAGGGGAAGCATGAAATATCTCAGTGGGATGGGGATGGGTGGTTGGAAGCACTAGGTCCCCCGTGGTCTTCCCCACTGTGAGATATCTTATGTGCACTTAATGATCTAAGCATTCGATTAGCAAATGAACTGGGTAAAGGAGGGATCATGTTCATTTAACGTGATCCAATTAACTAATTCTCGGGTTATGTAAGGACCTACTTCAGCTAAGCCACCAAGGAAGCAGAACTCTTGAAATAAGCATTGTCTCAAAAGGGACTTTTATTAGGGGCTAGTGATAGCAGGGAAAACAAGGTGAGGTCTGAGGAGAAACCAGCAAAAGCAGTATATTAAAAACGGTATTCAATACTCCACCCCCGAGGAGTGTTCATTTGAATTCCAGCCAATCCACAGATGGCATAGTGTTTTGGTAACTGGCTTCTTTGGCATGTTCATTCAAGGTTTTTCTCGCTTTCCTTTCCTTCTGCTCCAAGCACAACCTTCTCTTAGATAAGGGTGATACAATCCTTTCCCTGGGGGAAGGGCACAATAGCAAGACAGTGCAAAGCAGAGTGGCAGGCCCGAAAGAAAGGTTACAGAAAACAGATTCAGGAATAAGCATAGGGAAACAATGTATTTCTTTGGGGACCTGACAGAATTTTGCTTGATTGCTTGATCAAGTAGGGCAGATCCTTTTTAAATCTGTTTGATTCCTAAGTTGCATCTCTTACCCTCATCCCCCAAGGTCTTCCACAGATTCCATTACAGGAAATGAGGCAGACTCTCTTTGTGTTCAATGCCTTTAATGGTTTCATATTACAGTGGATCCTTTTACAGGAATTAAGAACACTTCAGTCCCAAAAGGCATCTCCCCGTGTTCCCTTTTATTTATTTTGATTTATTTGCAAACCAAATTTATTATTTTAAATAGCACAAGGCATTATTTGTATGTGAACACATGCACTCACACCTAATACTTCTCCCTTCTCTTATTTTCCCACAAAACTCGGCTGAGAGTGAATGGCACAAGATCACCCAGTTGGCTTTCATGCCTAGGATAGAACTAGAACTCACAAACTCCTGCTTTCTAACCTGGTGCCTTAACCACTAGACCAAATAGGCTGTTTTGGGGGACGTTGTTTGCTCCACCTGAAGTTTTTTCCACACACCATGCATTTATATTTTTTCCCACTCTATGGTTCCTGTTATGAGAATAAGGAGTTCTGTTTTGCAATTACCCTTTTTACATTGAAAATATTTCTAGATAGGAAGTCCTCAACTTACAACTTGGCACTTGGCAACTGTTCAAATTTCCAGTGGGCCTACCTGGTGGGGATATATGACTTGGATTTTGTTATGTCCCGAGCCTTGCAAACGGCTCGGGCGTTTGCAGGCAGTCCCGGGCAGGTGCAAAGCTGCCCGGGACCAGACAGGCTGTCGCCAGCGCCGTGCGCATGCGCGGGTGCTGGCGCGGGAAAAGTATCGCATGTACCCGGGAAATGTCTATATAAGAAGTTGGGAGGTTTTGGGAGCTGCTGAAGCCATCTACTTGTAAGCTGAACGCAGAATAAAGAAAACTGAGAACTTCAACTGCTTCTCGTGTCTGCTTTCCGCCAAGGACTCAACACTGGCGACGAGGGTCGGATCGTCTTACACTGCCTGGAAAGGAAGAAGTGTAAGCTTACCCAAGTGAGTCCTGAGCAGCGGAACGGCGTCGACTCGGCAGCTACCCGCCAATCCAGTGCGCATTCGGGGGTAGGCTGGCTGATAGACCCGTCTCCTGAAGATGGCAAAGGTTGGAAGGCTTTCGGAGTTCGACGTCTCACATCCAGAGCTGTGGGAGTCCTACGTAGCCAGGGTGGAGAACTACTTCAAGGCAAACCAAGTGAGGGAAGAGAGCTTGAAGGCTGCCACCCTGCTTTGTGTTTGCGGCCAAGACGCCTTCGACATCGCAGAAAACCTTGCAGCACCGGTTCCAGTAGAGTCTGTAAGCTACGCAGATCTGAAGAAGCTACTGAAGGAGCACTTCCACCCCAAGAGGTCCGTCATCGCATGGCGCCACACCTTCGAGCAGAGGGATCAACGGCCCGGTGAGTCGGCCAAAGAATTCATCGCCGCATTACGGAAGGCCGCCAAGCACTGCGAGTTCAAAGACCTCTAAGAACGACTGAGGGACCGATTCGTGTGCGGGTTAAGGCATCGAGATCTACAACAGAGACTTTTCGCTAAAGAAGAATTGTCCTACCAAGATGCCTTAAGGGAAGTCACTGCAGAAGAAGCAGCAGGCGGCGCTGTCAAGAACATGCGGCCAATCAGAAACAGTCCAGAGGTTGCATCCGTGCACCAGGAAGACGTCCAAAGAAACTCCGAGGAGGATCCCGACGAGGAAGTCGACCGTCTCCACCCCACGAAGGAAGAAAAACAGAAGGGAAGCTCTTCAGCTCCGCTCAAGTGCATCGGCTGTGGAGGTCGCCACAGGAGAACCGACTGCAAGTTCCGCTCCGCTACCTGCCGGGCATGCGGCAAACAAGGGCACATTGCAGCTGTGTGTCTGGCCCGACGAAAGGCACAACCCCAAGAAGAACGCCTGAAGGGTACCAGACTTCCCAGCCAGAATAGGGTAGGTTTTTGCGCTTCGCGAAGAAGCATCTGTAGGACAGGCACACACAAGCCCATGAAGAAAAAGCTGTCACTCAACGTGAAGCTACAAGGGGTTCCATTATCTATGGAACTAGACACAGGGTCTGCCTTTTCAATTATCTCCTTGCATACATTTAGGAAGATTTGTTCCGGTAGTGGAACTCAGGCCAAGTTAAGGCCTTCTGACATTGTGTTAAAAGATTTTCAAAATTCAAGAGTGTGTGTTAAGGGGGAGGCCACCCTTAACGTGCAATACAAGAGTTTTGAAGGTCCACTAGACTTATTAGTAGTGGGGGGTGAACGAACGAGTCTCATAGGACTCGATTGGTTTGAGGCCCTGGGGATACACGTCACAAGACTCAACAGTTTACAAACACTCGACCTACAGGAAGTCTGCAAAGAATTTGCAGATGTTTTCAGCCCCCAGCTGGGCACATTCAAAGGACCCCCTGTGTCCTTAAAGCTAGACCCCACTGTCACTCCCATTAGAATTAAAGCACGAAGGGTCCCTTTTGCTTTAAAGAGTAAAATTGACACTGAGTTAGACAAACTGATTCAACAGGGAATCCTAGAACCTGTTGATTCCAGTCCTTGGAAGACCCCCATTGTCACGCCTCTAAAGGCAAATGGGGACATTCGCATTTGTGCTGACTACAAATGCACTCTGAATAAGGCATTGCAGCAACATGCCTATCCTGTTCCTGTGGTCAGTCATATTCTGGCCTCCCTCAAGGGGGGGGGCGCGTTTTTGCAAAGCTTGACCTAGCTCAAGCGTATCAACAGCTGCCTGTTGATGATGATGCTGCTGGGATTCACCCTGCTGAATCCAAACTAACTGCTATTTTAGAAGCACCTAGGCCAAAGTCCAAGGCCGAACTTCAGGCCTTCCTGGGCCTCCTGAATTTCTACAATTCTTTTCTTCCACAAAAAGCTAGTGTAGCTGAGCCTCTTCACAGGCTACTAAACAAGCAAGCAGTGTGGCAGTGGTCACAAACGCATGAGGGTTGTTTTAACAAAGTCAAGGCTTTGCTCACTTCTAACAGTGTACTTGCACATTTCAACGAGTCCCTTCCTGTGTGCATCGCTTGTGCTGCGTCCCCTTACGGGGTTGGAGCTGTCCTGAGCCACCTCAGGTCTGATGGAACTCAGGTTCCTGTTGCATATTACTCCAGAACATTGTCTTCTGCTGAGCGCAACTACGCTCAGATAGACAGGGAGGCTTTGGCTGTTGTTGCTGGAATTAAAAAATTCCATGACTTTCTATATGGCAGGCACTTCACGGTCTTCACTGACCATAAGCCTCTGCTGGGACTGTTTACCACACGTAAGCAGACTCCCCAAATCATTTCCCCTAGAATGCTTAGATGGTCTATTTTTCTGTCTGCATATGATTTTTCTTTACTCCACAAGCCTGGGAAAGAAATGGGCCATGCTGATGGCCTCAGTAGATTGCCTCTGCCAGTAGTAGAAGCTGACCCTGCGCCAGCTGTTAACATTCTATCAATCCAAGCCTTGCCCGAGCTCCCTCTTGGTGCCAGGGATGTTGCCGCTGAAACAGGTACAGATCACACACTTTCACGTGTCCGTTCCTGGGTTTTGTCTGGTTGGCCTGAGCACTGCCCTAGTCCTGAGTTTCAGAGTTTCTGGTCCAAAAGGAACGAGCTGTCCCTTTCTCAGGGTTGTCTGCTTTGGGGAAACAGAGTTGTCATTCCCACCTCAATGAGGACTAAGGTCTTGGAATCCCTCCACGAGGGTCATCCTGGCATTGTTCGTATGAAGGCTCTTGCGCGCAGCCACTTGTGGTGGCCTGGTTTAGATAAAGATATTGAGGCTAAGGTGCATGCATGCCACCTGTGCCAACGATCTAGCCCAGAGATGCCCCAAGCTCCCGTGCATAGATGGGAGGAAACACAGTCCCCATGGTCTAGGGTGCACATTGACTACGCTGGACCCTTTCAGGGCCAGTTCTTCTTGGGCCTTGTTGACAGCCATTCGAAATGGCTTGAGGTTGTACCTGTCTCATCCACCACCACTGCAAAGACTATTCAGGTACTGAGGGGGATTTTTGCTGCACACGGGCTGCCAGATGTCATTGTGTCCGACAACGGCCCTCAATTCACTTCCTCCGAATTCCAAGCTTTCTTACAGGCAAAAATGATTCGTCATGCCACGTCTGCACCCTTCCACCCGTCCACCAACGGTATGGCTGAACGTATGGTGCGCATCACAAAGGACGCATTGAAAAGACTCACCTACGGGGACTGGCATCACAGGTTGGCTGACTTTCTCCTTTCTGATCGCACCACACCGTCCACTTCTACAGGGAGAAGCCCAGCTGAACTTCGTTGGGGGCGTCAACTTACTACTAAACTTGACCGGTTGCATCCGGACAGACTGCCTTCATCTACCTCACATCCTTGGGCACCTAGACAATTACTTGTGGGTGCCCCGGTTTGGGCTCGCAATTACAGGCCTGGTCATACATGGGTCCCCGCTTCTATTTCCAGGGTCACAGGTCCTCTCTCCTACGAGGTAGCCCTGGCCAACGGTCGTGTCCTGCGTCGGCACATCGACCAACTCCGCCCTCGGCGGGACTTTTCAGATGAGACTCCTGGGTCTTTTCCAGGGGGGGAGGGACCCTTTGGAGCAAAGGGAAGGGCACGAGCTGCTGCCCATCTCCACTGATGGAGCTACAAACGGCCCATCCCAGGGTTCCGCGAGAGCTCCGAACAAGAATTCTATGAGCCTACCTAATTACCAGGCATCCACGCCTACTCCAGCCAGAGAATCACCCCGAGGGCATACTCACTTTCCACACACATCACACAGCCCTCCAGTCACGGAGGATACCCGGGGGCATCCCAACAAATCATTCCCCGCAAGAGAGCTGGCACACAATCCCCAAGGTTGGCCTGACCTTACCCCAAATTCTACAGGGGGTCAAACATACAGGGAGGTGGTCGAGGAACCAAGTCCCGACTCCAACACCTCTAGCCCAAATCAGGGAGTAACTGAGTTTTGGGAAAGTACAGGAACCCACACAAGCCCGGACACAGAACGGGGTTCAGGGAATGGTCAGCCTCCTGACAGGTCTTGGACGTACCTAGGAGGTTCAACAGAGACGCCCAGCAGTGGCTATCACTTCAAGGGGCCCGAGGGTCTACAGCTAGGCAGGTCAACCAGGTCACAAAGTGACAGAAGCCCTGGCCTGACGAGCCCGGTGGGCAAGCAAGCAGGCCAGGCATAGGGGCACAGTCCTTGGAAGGCACCAAGGCAAAATAAGGAGAACAGGCTCACATCTCCCTCCAGTCAGGGAACTCATGCTAGTAATCCAGAGCTGAGAAGGTCACAGAGAGCAAAGAAGTCTCCTAAATACTGAGAGGATTACATAACATTGCTGGCTAAACAAAAGCCAGGTAACGATAGGAGCACTGAGAAGCAGAACACTGCATAAAATAAATGATTATATGTTGGTAGTAGTTTTAGCCCGGGGGAAAGGGGTGTTATGTCCCGAGCCTTGCAAACGGCTCGGGCGTTTGCAGGCAGTCCAGGGCAGGTGCAAAGCTGCCCGGGACCAGACAGGCTGTCGCCAGCGCCGTGCGCATGCGCGGGTGCTGACGCGGGAAAAGTATCGCATTTACCCGGGAAACGTCTATATAAGAAGCTGGGAGGTTTTGGGAGCTACTGAAGCCATCTACTTGTAAGCTGAACGCAGAATAAAGGAAACTGAGAACTTCAACTGCTTCTCGTGTCTGCTTCCCGCCAAGGACTCAACAGATTTGAAATTCTTATTTTTAGGGGCTCCCAGGCTCAATTGACTACATGTTGGGTGCTTGAACCAAGTTTGCAAATTCCATTTGCAGCCATTTGCAGTGTCCCATTGTCATGTTACTGCATTTTATGAAGACTTTGCTAAAAACCCGAGATGCCAGTTTTTCCGCAAAACTGCACCCATAGTGAACTCTGTTCACTGAAAAACTGGCATTTGCTTAATCATTCACTTAATGACTATAGTGATTTGCTTAATGACCACTGCAAAAAAGAGTTGTAAAATCGGGTTGATACATGACCAACTCACCAACTATGATGGGCCGACTCCATTATGGTTGCAATTCAAGAACTACCTCTAGTTGCTCCTCTATGTGAACCCTTTTATGGGAAATAAAGTCACTATTTTTCCTGAAATTCTTTCCACACTACATGCATTGATAGGTCTCACCTGTGTGGATCCTCTTATGATAAGTAAGGGAACTGTTGTGACTGAAAGTCTTTCCACATTCTATACACTGAAATGGTTTCTCTCCTGTGTGAACCCTTTTATGTGAAGTAAGATCATACCTTGTGCAGAAGTTCTTCCCACATTCTATGCATTGATGGGGTTTCTCTCCTGTGTGGATATTTTTATGGGAACTAAGGTTACTGCTTGTGCTGAAGTTCTTTCCACATTCTATACACTGAAACGGTTTCTCTCCTGTGTGGATCCTCTTATGAGAAGGGAACTGTTGTGACTGAAAGTCTTTCCACATTCTATACACTGAAACGGTTTCTCTCCTGTGTGAATCTTATGATAAATAAGGGAACTGTTGTGACTGAAAGTCTTTCCACATTCTATACACTGAAACGGTTTCTCTCCTGTGTGAATCTTATGATAAATAAGGGAACTGTTGTGACTGAAAGTCTTTCCACATTCTATACACTGAAATGGTTTCTCTCCTGTGTGGATCCTCTTATGAGAAGTAAGGGCACTGTTGTGACTGAAAGTCTTTCCACATTCTATACACTGAAACGGTTTCTCTCCTGTGTGAACCTTTTATATGAAGTAAGATCATGCCTTGTGCAGAAGTTCTTCCCACATTCTATGCATTGATAGGGTTTTTCTACAGGATGGACCTTTTTATGAGAATCAAGGAGACTCTTCATACTGAACCTTTTTCCACAGTCCAGGCACTTATAGGGTTTCTCTGTGGCATGCATCCTCCTTTTATGTGAAGTAAGTTGTTTTCTTGACCTGAAGTTCTTTCCACACATCATGCATGCATATTTTTTATCCCTTGTGTGGATTGTACTATGGGAACTAGGGTTACTGCTTGTGGTGAAGTTCTTCCCACACTCTATGCATTGATAGGGTTTCTTTCTCTTATGGATCCTTTTATGAGGAATATGGCAACTCTTCATACTGAAGCTTTTTCCACAGTCTATGCACTTATAGGGCTTTTCTACTGGATGGATCTTTTTATCAGTAGTTAAATTAATAGTCCATCTAAAGCTCTTTCCACAGTTCACACATTTATATGGCTTCTCCGTTGCATAGCTCACTCTACCGGGTAAAATATTATTACTACTGAAGCTCTTTTCAATTTTGCAGTTATTACTAAAGTTACATTTTACTTTGAAACTTTTTCCCCTTCTATGAAAATTTCCTGTGCTGCTTCCTTTAGAATTACGTTGCGGTCAGGAAGTGATCTATTTCTGCACATTGGAGAACGTATCTTTCTCTCCAATTGCAAGATTGGTTTTTCTCATATCTCCTTTCCCACTTATTTGTGCATGTCTCTTCTGGTATTTCAATTTTGATAATTTGTGATGGCACTATACTGCACTCTGGGAAATTTTCATTCTTCTGCTCATCAACTCCTTGAGGAGGAAGAAAAAGAAATCAAAAACTTGACAACATATAGTTCACTATCCCTATGCCAGTCCCTAGCCTGCATCTATTCATGGACATCTGCAAGGAAAAGAACGGTCTAGTGTGTTAAATCTTGAGTTAACTTTTGGGTGGTCCGGGACCGTGGTCACAAAAGATATTTAAAGGGGGTATGTAGTGAAGAAAAGGTTGAAAGACACTGTTCTAGTTCAAAGCCCTGCTCAAGGCAGAAGGCCTTATACCATCTCTGTCAAATGGTTGTCCAGTCTATTTTTGAAAACCTCCAGTGATAGAGTACCCGCAACTCCATGAGGTAAACATTTCCATTGATTAATTGTTCTAATTGATTAGGACAAGTGAAATAAGCAAAAATATCCTTGATTATGTTCCCAGCACCTCTGCAGTATTAACACAGGGCCCAAACAACATCCCAAGACTGCATATCAAGCCTTTCTAGACTGACTGGTTATCAGACTGGTTCTAGTACTTAGAACACTATGTAAGAGAACTGGAATTAATATAAGATTAAAAAAAGAAAAGATCAGAAATCACTTCAACAAAATCTGCACAGATCTCCTAAGCTGTAAATAAACTCTTCATTAACTCCTCAATCCTCAAACTTTTCTCCACAGGAACCTTTACCTAAAGAGGTCACGATCCTAGACATTTCCAACAGGACTTCTTGGTGCAGGGCTTTTTGGCTGGGATCCAACAGCAACCACTCTTCACTCGTGAGATGAATGGCCACCTCTTCAAAGGACACAGGACCCTGAACAAGGAAGAATCCTTGTGATCAGACTCAATAGAATAAAGGCAAATACCAGAAGGCATTTGATAATTTGAATTGGAATTTTATTATAACACAATTGTACTATATGGATTTTGGGACAAAATTTGGAAAGATAGTTGAGAAAATATATACTAAACAAACAGCTAGGGTAATTATAAATGAGGAAATGACAGAAAAAATTGATATAACCAAAGGAGTAAGACAAGGATGCCCACTTTCCCCTCTTCTATTTATTTTGTCATTAGAAATACTCCTTACAAAAATCAGAGAAGACCAAGAAATAAAGGGTTTAAAAATTAAAAAGGAAGAATATAAGGTCCAGGCCTTTGCTGATGATTTGGTATTTATTTTGGAAGATCCATTAGAAACCGGCTTTAAATTGATTCAAAAAATAGAAGAATTTGGTGAGGTAGCCCGACTTAAGATTAATAAGAATAAATCCAAATTAATAACAAAAAATCTTACAAAGGCACAGGAAAGGGAATTGGAAGATAAAACAAAGATAAGTATAACCAAGAAAATAAAATATTTAGGGATCTGGCTTACAGCGAAATGTTCCTCGATTAAGGAGGACAATTATGATAAAATATTACACCAGATAAAAAAAGATTTAGAAAATTGGGAAAATTTGCAAATTTCATTTTTAGGGAGGACCGCTACGGTCAAAATGAATGTATTGCCAAAAATATTATTTCTGTTCCAGGTTATTCCAATAAAATTAGGGAAAACATTCTTTCAAGAATTAAATAAATTGGTCACTAAATTTATATGGCAAAGGAAAAAACCAGGATTAAATTAAAACTCTTGCAAGATATGAAAGATAAAGGGGGATTGGCGTTACCAGAATGGGAAATATACTACCAAGCATCGAGCTTAACTTGGCTAAAAGATTGGATGGATTTGAGAAATACTAGAGTTTTAACAATAGAAGGACATGACTTGCAAGCAGGATGGCATGCATTCCTATGGGATGAAAAACATAAAATACACAGATACTTTCAAAGACACATAGTTAGGAATGCATTGCTACAGACTTGGGAAAAAATAAAACAAAAACATTATATAAGAATTCCAATGTGGTTATCCCCAACAGAAGCTCTGAAATACCCAAACCTATTGGATATAAATAAGATAATTAGATACAAGGAATTAGTAAATGAACAGGGAAATTTGAAAACAAAATAAGAATTGGAACAAGACATTGGCAAAGAGATTGATTGGTGGACATTTACACAAATTCAATCTAAATATACAAAGGACAAAAAATTATATGAAATCCAAAAAAGAGCCGCAAGAATTGGATAAAATTATACATGGAACAGAAATAAAATTAATTAGCAATTTATACAAATACCTATTGAGATATAAAATGGAAGACAAGGTTGTCAAAGACACAATGATTAGATGGGCAAAAAATTTCGGATATAATATAGAATTGGAGAAATGGGGAAAATATGGGAAATAAATATAAAATTGACTATGTTGGCGGCATTCAAGGAAAACCAGCTGAAGATGTTTTACAGTTGGCATCTTCCACCAGCAAAGCTTGCCAAGATGTTCCAGAACAATTCGCCAACATGCTGGAAATGTAAAAAAGTATATGGAACATATTATCATTTATGGTGGACATGCCCAGTTGCAAAAAAATACTGGTCTACAATAAGAAAATGGATCGAAGAAATAATAGACCAACCCTTAGACTGGAAACCAGAGATCTTTTTGTTGGGTATTTTAAACAGAAAATATAGTAAAGAAATATGGTACTTAATTTTACATATAATAATGGCGGCAAGAATAGCATATGCACAGTGCTGGAAAAATGAAAATATACCATCAGAGGAAGAAGTAATAAGAAAAATCCTGGACTGTGCTGAGATGGACAAATTAACAAAAGAGATAAAAGAAAAGGAAGACACAGAGTATTATATAACATGGAACAAGTTGTATGTCTGGTTGGAGACTAGAAATAATAGAGGAGAAAAAATATGGAAAGGTCAAAAGTGAAAAAATGTGTATAATAATGTATAATAATAATATGAATTATTCTTAGTAAGAAGTAGAACATGAAGGAAGAAAAATGTAAATAAGAAATAACGGGGCTATAAGGACAAATATTCTAAAGAAGAATAAGGGGGGAAATGTAAATAATAGATATCCGTTACGCAATTGCTGTAAAAAAAAGGAGGAGTATATATTGTGTGTGTATGTATGTTATGTTTTGCTTTGTTTTGTTTTGTCTTGTTGGTTAAAAATAAATAATAAATAATAAAAAAAAGAATAAAGGCAAATATATATGTCCCAGATAATGTTGTAGGATCCAATCTGAGTCAGTCATCGGGACCAGAATTTATTGTTCCAAGCTCTCAAACTCGTGCTGGAAGATCTCATTCTCCAGAATACATGCACTAGACCAGTGGTTCTCAACCTGTGGGTCGGGACCCCATCGTCAAACAATGCAGTCCACCATTTTTTTCCCCTTTTCCTTAGCTGTGCTACTCCCTTTTATTCTATTGGCTTTTGAAAGCCAATAGAATAGACTCTCTTGAATAGAGTCTAATTTTATTGGCTTTCAAAAGCCAATAGGAATTGTCCAGGCTGTCTCTGCCCTGCTGAGCCCGCCAAAAGTCCCATTCTGCAAACAGTGCTGCACCAATTGAGTAGTCCTCGACTTACGACTGGTTGAGTAGTCCTCGACTTACGACCGGTTGGGGGTCGCGGCATTAAAAAGGTTGAGAACCACTGCACTAGACTGTTCTATGCTAAGTCCAGTGCGCACATTCAGGAGAGAGAAAAGTTCCCTCAGGATGGGCTCCAGTACAAGTCCTGAAGCTTGTAGGAATAAATCTCAGGTCCCGGTGACTGACTCAGATTGGATGCTGCAAACTCAATAGAATTTGCATGATCTTCTTTAATTTCCAAATCCTAAAAAGAGTTATAATTCTTAAGTGGGCATTTCCCAAGCTGGTCTCAACATATGTCATAAAATCATCCTGATCTCTCAAGAAGTTACATACAATGCCCTCTCCATCTAAGTGGTATAGGGCAGCAAAGATTGTTAAAGTTGTTAGTTATGAATTGTATTCCTATCTCTTGAAAGATTTGATATTATTAGGTTTGGTAAATTGGATTTAACCAAGTGGCAAGTCCAGATGCCCTTATCTGTCTTTCTCAGGTAAGTAGGTTTACTATTGGTTAGTCACGGGAAGAAGAACCACTAACCCTTTTATCTCTTTCCTAGACAAAAAATTTGAAAAAGCTGGGAAGAGGCAGAATCAAAACTACTTCTAAAATGCAATCTGAAACCGGCCTGGATGCAGCTCTTAAAAGGCTAAGCTGGAGTCAGGGGTGTCTTCGTTCTTTATCTTTTATAAACCTCCTTACAGCCCAGAAAAGAAAGTTCTGAAAGTTCAAATAACGACTCTCAGTATACATCTCTTGAGAAACCTATATGTGGGTCAAGAAGCAACAGTGAGAACTGGACATGGAACCACTGATTGGTTCAAAATTGGGAAAGGAGTCCGGCAAGGCTGTATTCTATCGCCCTGCCTATTTAACTTATATGCAGAGCACATCATGAGAAAGCGGCTAGATCACAGGTCGGCAACCTGCGGCTCCAGAGCTGCATGCGGCTCTTTGAGCCTTCCCCTGTGGCTCCCAGCCTCCTCTGCCTTTGCAGAGAGAGACAGAGACAGAGAGAGGCAATTGCGCTTGCCTGCTTCTCTCTCTCTCTCTCTCTCTCTCTCTCTCTCTCTTTGTGTTGGTTTTTTGTGTGTGTGTATATTTGTAAAAGATTGTGCACTCACAGTGTTCTCCGAGGAGCAGAAAAGCTTTTTGGGCGAGGCTCCTCCCTTTGCTGCGTCTCTGCAGGAAGCAGGAAGGGCAGGAGAGAGCTAGCTAGCCCAGCTAGGCTGACTCAGGAATTCTGGGAGTTGAAGTCCATGAGTCATAAAAGAGATGAGGTTGCTTACCCCTGAGCTTGTTGGACAACAGCTTGAAGCTTGCCAGGTAAGCAGCAGATAGGAGGGGAGGGGAGAAAGAGAGGGGGGGAGGGAGAGAGAGAGAGGAAAGAGAGAGAGAAAGAGAGTGGGGGAAGAGGAGTGGCAGACCAAGGGCAGATAGAGAGGGAGGGAGAAAGAGAGACAGAGAGACCCTTTTGACATCTAAAATGAAGATAACATTGCATATATCCTTTTTTTACCTGTGTGTGTATGTAATTTTATTCTCTTAAAGCATTTTCTTGGTGATCATTGTTTTAATAGTATGGATATTCCCAAGAGTCCTATTTTTACTTTTATTTTTAATGTGTGTGTGTGTGTATATATATATATATATATATATATCATCCTCTCCTATCACTCTTCCCTTCTCCAAATTATCTCTCCTCCTCTTCTGTCGATCTCCCTGCTGTTCCTGTTTCCCATCCTGCCTTCCTATCAACCTTCCTCTCTCAGGTAGTTGGTCTACCCCCTCAATCTGCCAATCCCCCTGCTGTTCCTGTCCTGCCCGATCCATTCCTGTCCTTCTTTGCTCCCTCAACACTTCTCCCCCCCCCACCCGCTGGCTGTGGAATTCTGGGAGTTGAAGTCCACATGCCTTAAAATTGTCAAGTTTGGGAAACACTGCTCTATTACATCATTCATTCCCATTACCCTTTCTTTCACCAATTCTCCTCTATCTCTAATCTGCCCGTCCTGCCCTACGTCATCCATTCCTGTCAATCCCCCTTCCTTCAACCCTCCCACCTGTTGATTAACATAACCATTTTAAATGCCACGTTTTTTCTCTGTATGTTAAAATGACACAAATATGAAAGTTCCTAACAAATGCCATACATTTATATAAGAGAAGAGTTTCCATGTTTTATAGACTTTGTTGCTTTGTTTATAGGTAGATCTGTTTGCTAATGCCTTTCTCATATTCCATGGATTTCTATGCATCATTTTCTGTGCAGTATGAATTCTTTGAAACAAGTCAGATCTGAAATCATTCTACCTCTTTCTACAACTTTCTAGACCAGGCATGTCAAACTCACAATGTCATGTAATGTGATGTACTGGGACTTTTCCCCCATTGCCAGCAATGGGATGGGTGCAGTTTTGGCGTGGTGCATCTGGCCCATGGGCTGGCAGTTTGACATGCCTGTTGTAGGCCAATCCCATTCTGCTCCCCTCACTAAAGATTTTCCAACATATTAAACTTTTTTCTTTTAGCTTCCTTTGGTGTATATTAACTAGGGGCAACATTTACACTCCACAACTGTTCTGAATAATTTACTATACTAACCCTTCAAAAGAGGAATATTGTTAATACTCAGGATATACTGAAAGGTTTTTTTTAAAAAAAATCTACCTTAAGATTAAAAGAGTCAAAATCATGCCAGACATTCTCAAATTTGTAATGGCATGATCCTCTAAGTCTAAAACTTCATATAGGATTGACCTTTCTGATCATCTTGATATCGCAAATTCACGAATCTGCCAGAGGCACTAAAGTGACATCAAAAACCTTGAGAAACAGTAGTTCTGGAATATAATGGGGAAAAAACGATGAAGAATTCACTTTCAGCTGAATGTTATTTCTTCATGATAGAACTGAGAACTGAAGACATAAAGAGAAACAGTTCAATTGAACTTTCTCCTTTATTAAAAAAATATTGCTCATATGGTACACTGGAATCGATAAAACCATTTTCAAAGTAAAGAGGCTACAGCTGCAATCATAAATGTACTGACTGCATGTCTGTTTTCAGCAGGATTAATGTGATTTTGCAACCAGAGATCCTTAGCTAAACAGTCCTATAAACATTCGGGAGAGATTTTCACTGATTTAAAAAAAGGTTTTAATACTTTGCTACTTGTTTAAGAAAGGCAGGTGTTTTCAGTAGTTACATCTAAAATGTGCACAAATGTTTTCCCCCGCTTTTGCTTACACATGTCAGCTTTCCACAAAGCCTGGAGCCTGATCCCAGACTTGGTCCAGATGTTGCTTCCGCCTAGATAAACACACATGACCAGGCAGAGATTTTGATATAACAAATGGGGCAATTTAATAACAGATTCTTATGAGCTGGACCTAACTGACTAGTCACTAGGGTAATACCTCTGGAACTAAGATATATATCCTGGCAGCTCTCCATGTATTTATTCATTTTTTTCTGTGGTGATCCTCCAAACGAAGGAAGATTTCCTTAACTTTTTTCACAGGATCCTTGTACTCCTATATCCTTAAAGTGGATCCTTTTCTGGGAAGTAAGACAGATTAACAAGGTGATTCTCTGTATTTCATACATTCATACTGTACTGTCTCTCCTGCAGGAAACTTTTTCTGGGAAATAAGAGAGCACCTTGTATTGAAATTCTTACTAAATTTCTTACTTTTATATAGTTTCTCCTTTCATGGAGTGTAAGACTCCTGCTCTATAATTTCTCTTCCAGACACATATTTCTCCCATGTGGGGCTAAGGGAACTCTCACCTTAGGCACAAAGCCAGCTGGAGTATCTTAGGCCAGTCACTTTTTCTCAACCCTGTGATGGTAATAATGGCAAACCACTTCCAAAAACTTTGCAAAAAAAAATCCTGCAAAAAAACTACCTCAAAGGAACAATAAAAAAAAACTTTGAAATTCTTCACAAACTACTTTGCTTACATCCTATTTCCTTCCAATGGTGCCTTTTAAGAGAAATCAGTTCAAAATTCTTGATTAAGTTCTCTGCATTTTATGCCCTTACTGTACAGCGCGTGTGTTTGATATCACATTGGATTCTTTCACAGGAATTACTTCAATCACTAAAGGCATCTTTCCCACATGGGTCCTTTTAGGGAAAATAAGTTGATTGTTTCACATTAAGTTCTTTCCACACATCATTAATGTATATATTTTTTTTCTCCTGTGTGGATCTTTTTGTGAGAAGTAAGGGAACTGTTCAAACTGAAATTCTTTCCACACTCCGTACATTGATAGGGTTTCTCTCCTGTGTGGATCCTTATATGGGAGGTAAGGTTACAGCTTTTGCTGAAGCTCTTTCCACACTCTATGCATTTATACGGTTTCTCTCCCGTATGGATCCTTTTATGAGAAGTAAGGGAACTGTTCAGACTGAAACTTTTCCCACAATCCTTGCACTGATAGGGTTTTTCTCCTGTATGTATTCTCCTATGGGTAATAAGTTGACTTTTCCACCTGAAACTTTTCACACACTCTGTACATTGATACAGTTTCTCAGCTATGTGGATGCCAATATGGTTAGTAAGGGAGCTGCTTGAAATAAAACTCTTCCCACATTCCTTGCATATATAAGGTTTCAACCCTGAATGGATCCTTTTATGGCAAATAAGGGAACTGCTGCTGCTGAAGCTCCTTCCACACTCCATACATTTGTATGGTTTCTCCCCAGTGTGCATTCTGTTATGGGAATTAAGGTGACTGCTTTGAATAAAGGACTTTCCACACTCCATGCACTTGTAGGGTTTTTCTCCTGTATGAATCCTTTTATGAGAAGTAAGGGAATCACTATAACTGAAGCTCTTTCCACACTCTGTGCACTTAAAGGGTTTCTCTCCTGTGTGGATCCTTTTATGGGAGGTTAGGTGATTCCTGTTGTTAAAGCTCTTTCCACAATCCAGGCATTTATAGGGTTTCTCTCCTGTGTGGATCCTTTTATGGGAATTAAGAATACTGCTTTTGCTGAAGCTCTTCCCGCATTCCAAACATTGATAGGGTTTCTCTCCTGTATGGATCCTTTTATGCGAAGTAAGGGAACTGCTCATACTGAAGCTCTTTCCACAGTCCATGCATTGATAGGGTTTTTCCCCCGTGTGCATCCTTTTATGAGAAGTAAGATGACCTTTCAACCGGAAGTTCTTCCCACACAATATGCATTGATAGGGTTTCTCTCCTGTATGGATCTTTTTATGAGAAGTAAGAGAACTGTTCATACTGAAACTTTTTCCACAGTCCTTACATTCATATGGTTTTTCCCCTGTATGCATCCTTTCATGGGAAGTAAGGTGACTTTTCCACCTGAAGCTTTTCCCACAGTCAGTACAGTGATATAGTTTCTCTCTGCTATGGGTACCGATGTGATTAGTAAGGGAGCTGCTTAAAATAAAACTTTTCCCACATTCATTACATATATAAAGTTTTAATCCTGAATGGATCCTTTTATGAGAAATAAGACACCTGTTCAAACTGAAGCTCTTTCCACACACTGTGCACTGAAAGGGTTTCTCTCCTGTATGGATCCTTTTATGAGAAGTAAAGGAACTGTTCATGCTAAAGCTTTTTCCACAGTCTATGCACTTATAGGGTTTTCCCCGTGAATGGATCTTTTTATGGGTAGTTAGATTACCTCTCCACCGAAAGCTCTTTCCACAGTCCACACATTTATAGGGCTTCTCCCTTGCATGGATCATTTTATGGGGAGTAATGTTACTGTTATTGCTGAAGGTCTTTCCAATATTGCACTGATTGCTATAGTTGGGTTTTGCTTGAAATATTTCACCACTTCCTTGCCACTTTCCCATTCTGCTTTCTTTACAATCATGTTGGGTCAGGAAATTATCCGTTTCTGTGCAATCAAGAATGGATTTTTCTTTCCAATTATAAGATGGGTTTTCCTCATATCTCCTTTTTCCACACTTATCTGCAGATGTGTCTCCTTCTATTTCAATTTTGATTATTTGTGATGGCACCACATCTGACTCTGGGTAATTTTCAGTGTCCTGATCACCAACTGCTTGAGGGGGAAGAAAAAGAAATCAGAAAAGTCTTCAATTTGCTCTCCCCATGACAGTCTCTAGCCTGTATCTATTCATTGGCATTTGCAAGGGGAGCAGCAGGGTAAATGGCAACATGAATATTTATTAATTTAAAATTTCGGTACTTAGAACTGCAGAGATGGACTAGAAGTAATGTAAGAGGAAAAGACAAAGGAGATGTCATCATTTTAACAAGATCTGCACAGATCTTCTAAGCTGCAAAAAAACCCCATCTAGATCTCCTCAATCTGACTTAATTTTCCTCAGAGGAAACTTTACCTAAAGAGGCCACAATCCTAGATGTCTCCAACATAACTTCTTGGTGCAAGACTTTCTGGTTGGGATCCAGCAGCAACCATTCTTCACTGGTGAAATGAACAGCTACCTCCTCAAAAGACACAGGACCCTGAACGAGGAAGGAACAGCATCAGAACCAACATTAATGATTCTGGTTGATCCCTAGTAGGAGTGGGACAGGGATAGTGCATCCATTGTGGTTCTTCTTGACCTCTCGGCAACTTTCGATACCATGAACCACGGTATCCTTTTGGGTTGACTCTGGGAGTTGGGAATGAGTGGTTTTGTGCTGCTTTATCTTCTTCCTCTGGCATCGATCCCAATCAATAGGGAGTGAGAGGTCCAACCTGTGGGTCCTGCTTTCTAAAATGCCATGGGGCTTAATGCACTGGGTTTTTTTTTCTCTGTAGCTATGGGATGAGGTATCATCAGCATGATAACCCAGTGCACATCTCTTTCCTGGGTAAAGTAAGTGATGTTATGGATGTGCTCTCATGGTGCTTGGAGGCTGTGGGGGTCTGGGTGGGGGACAATAGGCTTCAACTGAACCTGTTAAGATGAGTGGCTGTGGATAGAAGGGGCTTCCACCTCTGGGGGTTTAACATCTTTGGCTTGGATGGACTTGCACTGCCCCAGAAGGACCTAATACAGTGATGGCAAACCTTTTAGAGACCAAGTGCCCAAACTGCAACCCAAAACCCACTTATGTATCGTTGGGTGCCGGGTGGGCGTGGCCCATTGGATGGGTGTGGCTGCGGTAGTAACAGCAGACTGGGTGGGACTAAAAAGTTCAATCAATCAATTCCAACTTTGAAGATCTTTTTTTTTCCGCAAGAAGTTGAAATTGATTGATTAACCCTTTTTTTTTTCCACACGGCGGCAGAGGCTTAAAGTGAAAAGGTTTTATAAAACCGAGCTAAAGGCCCAGGACTGAGGCGACGGCGCGCGTGCCCACAGAAAGGGCTCTGAGTGCCACCTGTGGCACGGGTGCCATAGGTTTGCCACCACGTACCTAATATATAATCTGGGTGTCCTCCTGAGTCATGTAGTCATGTCTAAGAGGACATCTGCTTAACTTCGGAGGTGCACAAAGTTACAATTCTTCCTGGATCAAGAAGCCCTCCTTTCAGTCACTCACGCCCTAGTCATTTCCTAGATGGACTACTGCAATGTGCTCAACAGGAGGCTACTCTTGAAGAACATCTAAAAGCTGCAAGTGGTGTAGAATGCAGTGGCACAAGCAATTCTGGGTACCTCTAGGGTTGCACATGCAACACCTCTGAAATGGTGTTAGTTTGCTTCTGGGTCCAATTCACAGTGTTGGTTGTTACTTTTAAAGCCCTTCGTGGCATCAGGTTATGTGAGGAACAGCTTCTCAAATCGACCCATACCACCTAAGTCAGGCTGGGAGGACACGTTGTAGATCTCATTGGTTAAAGAATTTTGACTGGTAAGATCTAGGGGAGAGGGCCAAGTTGAGGGTTAACCGTTTAGCTTTGATAATTTTTAAACTCTTTTAACTTTTAACATGTAAATCTTAACCCTGTTTTTAACTGTTTTAATGTTGTTCTTTAATTACGTTTTTATACTATTTTATGAACTGCCCAGAGTCACTTAGCTGAGATGGGCAGTGTAGAAATTTGATGAATAAATAAAACCATCTCCTTACTTCTTAAGGACAGGGTACACACAACACTGTCTCCATCTAGGCCAGAGATGGAACTATGGCCCCTTTATGGCTGACTCAGGAATTCTGGGAGTTGAAGTCCACACGTCATAGAAGGGCCATCGTTTCCCACCCCTGATCTAGGCAATGCAGAGTGGCAGGTTCTCCTTGAAGATTATCAAAATTGTTATATGTGTAGTAACTGTATTCCTAATTTCATGGTATTAATAAGATGCCCACAGCTGATTTTCTCAGGTAAGCTGTATTCAACCACTAAAGAATTCAGTCTGTTTCAAAAAAGCCTTGAGAGGCAGGCTGAGTGTGACTGACCACTAACTTGAATCCTAATTTCCCTGTCCCACAATGCTCTGGAATAGCAGTATCATACACTGAGATCACAAATGACCCCAAAGCAGTCTCCACCTGCTCCCCTATATTAGCCCCAGATATTTTCTTTCCTACCTGAGCTGGAGATCCAGCTGCTTTATCAGCTCCACCAGTACAAAGAGAGCAACTGATGAACAACGGTGACTCCATTTTGTTCTCTGGGAAGGAGAGAGAATGGATGAAGCAGGAAAGGGATTAATTCCACCTTTTGTAGTCTGAAGGCATGACTTTTTCCTATACTGTGGAGAACGCCCCCATTTCTCTAGCCTAACCTCAGTCTTCAGTGGCATTTCATGGGCTCTGTCTTTGGACCCAAGAATGAAAGAGAAGGAACACGCCAGAAAGGAGAGGTGGTGTTGGAGATAATCCAACGGGGAAATGTGTGAGAATTTACTCCAAATCACCTATCAAAAAAGCCCTAAGTTATTCTTATCTCTGAGAATAAAGAAAAGTATCTCAGGATAGAGGAGCCAGAATGAAACCCAGGAGATCCCTAAATGGGTTTGTTTTCTGCAAACAGGGATCAATAGTATAGGTCAGGGGTAGGCAACCTTGGCTCTTTTATGACTCGTGGACTTCAACTCCCAGAATTCCTGAGCCATCCGTGCTGAGGAGAAAAGGAGAGGTTTCCAAGCTGAGCCATGCTGGCTCAGGAATTCTGGGAGTTGAAGTCCACGAGTCATAAAAGAGCCAAGGTTGCCTACCCCTGGTATAGGTTCTCCTCCTTGAGCAGGGGGCTGGGCTAGAAGACCTTCAAGGTTCTGTTCCCTTCCTTTCCACTGGAAGGTAGTATGTGGAGTGACCGGACAGATTTCCTTTGTGAGACTTTAGAATAACAAGAGTTGAAAGGAGCCTTGGAGGTTTTCTAGTCCACACTCCTGTTTCAGGAGGAGACCTTATACCCGTGGTAGCAAACGTATGGCACATGTGCCACAGGTGGCACTCAGAGCCCTCTCTGTGGACACATGCATTGTCGCCCCAGTCCTAGGCTTCAGCTTGGTTTTATAAAACCTTTTCGCTTTAGGCCTCCGCGTGCCAAAAAAAAAAAAAAATAGATTCAATCAATTTCAACTTCCCACGGGAAAAAAAAGATCTCGCAAAGTTGGAATTGATTTATTGAACTTTTTAGTCCCACCCAGTCTGCCGTTACCACCGCAGCCACACCCACCCAATGGGCCACACCCACCCAGTGGGCCACGCCTACCCGGCACCCGACGATACATAAGTGAGTTTTGGGTTGAGTTTGGGCACTCGGTCTCTAAAAGATTCGCCATCACTGCCCTATACAATTTCAGACAAATGGTTGTCCAATCTTTTCTTGAAAACCTCCAGTGATGGAGCACCTACAACTTTTGGAGGTAATCCAGTCCACCGGTTAATTGTTCTAATTGTCAGGAAATTCCTCTTTATTTCTAGGATGGTTCTCTCCTCCATCAGTTTCCATCCACTGCTTCTGGTCCTGTCTTCAGGTGCTTTGGAAAGTAGGTTGACCCTCTCATGGCAGTCCCTCAAATATTGGAACACTGCTATCATGTCACCCCTGGTCCTAAGCCTTCAAGTATGAAGAAGAAGAGTTAATTCTGGATCACCTTCTAGAAAGTCCAACGACTACACATGACAAGATAAAAAAAATGGAGGATACACAATCTCTGTGGAAAACCTCCAATAGAAGGATCTTTCCTTACCTATTGAGGGGGCCTGACATTGACCTTCCTCCTTGGAAATCCTTCTGAAACATGGACTGTGAGAGGGATTTACAGGATGGACCTCGTCTTCAGGACAGTCGATGCCAACCTCCAACAAAGACCTCAGAACCTGAAGGATAGGCCAAGAAGCAAAGTTAAGAGACAAGAACTGGGATTTCATTTCTTGCCCACAATGTTGGCTAGACCTTTGTGTCCATAATTTGGAATGGAAGAGGACGATGGGAGAATTGCTCCAAATATGCCATTTGGAAGAACACAGGAGCAAATGTTGCTAATAAGGTTCTCTAACCTTCTCATTGAAAGGCTGAGCGCCAAAGAATTGAGGCCTTTGAACTATGGTGCTGGAGAAGACTCCTGCGAGTCCCTTGGACTGCAAGGAGATCAAACCGGTCAGTCCTAGAAGAGATCAACCCTGACTGCTCTTTAGAAGGCCAGATCCTGAAGTTGAAACTCAAATACTTTGGCCACCTAAGGAGAAGGAAGGACTCACTGGAGAAGAGCCTGATGCTGGGAAAGATGGAGGGCAAGAGAAGAAGGGGACGACAGAGAAGGAGGGGGCTGGATGGAGTCACTGAAGCAGTAGGTGTGAACTTAAATGGACTCCAGAAGATGGTAGAGGACAGGAAGACCTGGAGGAACGTTATCCATGGGATCGCGATGGGTCGGACACGACTTCGCAATTAACAACAAAACCTTCTCATTGCCTTATTAATCTCCAACATTCTTAGGGAGACATTTAGGATTTCAAGTACATTAAGATCCCTCCATATTTCTCAAGAGGAGTGTCTCTCACCTGGTGTCCTCCTTGCTCGTTCTCTGCTTGGGTCAACAAAAAGCCTTCGGCTAGGGCCACCGCCTGGCAACTGGTCTCTGGTCGGCATTCCCGCACCCAGCGCTGCATTTCCCTGGGCAGGACGGCCAGAAACTGCTCCAAGATCACCCGGTCCAACATCTGAGCCTTGGTGTGCTTCTCGGGCTGTAACCACCCCCAGCAAAGGTGGTGAAGGTGGCTGCAAAGTTCTCGTGGCCCCTCGGTCTTCTGAAAGGGGCTGTTCCTGAAGCGCCAACGCTGCATCTCAGAACTGAGGGCTTCCTCCAGGATCTTCTGCCCTGGTCCTGCTTCCTCCAGGATCTTCTGCCCTGGTCCTGCCCAGACCTCCCCACAGCTCTTAGGATGAGCAGCAGAAGGACCTCTTCCTATTTCGTTCCAGGCTGGGTAGGTTGCATCCATTTCCAGCCTCTTCTCCAACAACGATCCAGAAGCGCCCTGTAGATCTCCCAGATCTCCAAAGGTTTTTGTTTTTTTTTCCAATCTGTTTTCAGTCCTGAGAACTGACGGAGTTGCACAGAGAACCCCCGAGATGATTTTCAAGCCATTCAGCTCTAAAGGAAGCCGCCAGCTTTTACATCTGAGGTGGAAAAAAAAGAAAGAAACTTCAGGAATCCGCAAATTGTTCTCGCTCAGAAACCGTGATTGTTTTGTCAAATTCAGGGCAAAGGGACAGTTTGGAGCGGGGGAGGGGGGGAAGGGGACAAAATTAAAAAGTGTTTCAGGCTTCCTATGTCTCGTCCCCTTCTCACCACCCTTGGAGACCAGCCTTCATTTTTGGGGGGAGAGGTCTTCTGCAGAGGTGCAGCTGAATTCTATGAACAGCAGGAAAAATAATGGGGGTCTTACAGCCTCGCCGGCAATTTCATTTGAGGCACAGAATTGGTCCTTTCCAATCTCCCGCCCCCCCAATGCTTTAAATAGGACCGTTTGCAGAGGGAGGGGGAGGGGTACCAGTCAGGCAGACCCCTTTCCCCGGATCCTTGTTAGAAATCTTGAAAAGCAAACCTGGTTTACGCACAATAGGAGCATATAGTTCCTTTATTCCCCCACCCCCACCATCACAACTCTTTCTCTCCCCTTCCCCCCCCCCCCCAGTGTTACATCTCTTGCATGCACAGCTGGAGCAGGATGGGGAAGGGTCTCCCTTCTCCCTCCTCGGGATCTGGAATCCCGCAAACCCTTTCGGGGAATCCGGGGTACTATTTGGGGGGGGGGGGGGAGAGCCGCACTGTCTCTTCTTCCCTGGCAGAATCGACCAGGGAGGTTCCCCCTACTGTTGGAATAGGAGGCAATTGTCCTCCCCCCCCGGGTCGTGGGGGGGTCCCCTCCTCCCGGCCCCGGTCACCCTCCCCCGCCAAATTCCCACGGCACAACTCACACAGCCGCTCCTCCCCAGCCAAGCAGACGGGGCGGAGCAGGCGCAATAAAGCGGGTGAGCGCCCCCCACTGGCACCTCCGGGCACCAGCCTTGAGCCTTTGAAAGGAGGGACGTGGGTGGGCCTTAAAATGGCCCTCCTGGCCAATCTCTGCGCGGGGGCCGGATCTGCGGCCAGATGCCCCTCCCAGCTATTTTTTGTGACTGGCTTTTCTGACGGCATCAATTCTGGAGAAGGGAGACCCCAAAAGGGTTGGATAAGAAATACTAGGGTGGTATTAATATCCTAGTAATGCTAAGGTTAGCTTCGCGCTCCGTTCTTCCCAGGAGGCGGGAACTCCAGAGGTCATCTGGATTAGGGGACTGGAGGCTAAAACATATAAGGAACGGCTGCTGGAATTGGGTATGTCTAGTTTAACGAAGAGAAGGACGAGGGGGGGCAGGATAGCAGGGTTCCAATATCTCAGGGGCTGCCCCAAAGAAGAGGGAGTCAAGCTATTTTCCAAAGCGCCTGAAGGCAGGACAAGAAGCAAGGGATGGAAACTAACCAAGGAGAGAAGCAACCTGGAACTAAGGAGAAACTTCCTGACAGTTAGAACAATTAACCAGTGGAACATCCTGCTTCCAGAAGTGGTGAATGCTCCAACACCAGAAGTTTTTAAGAAGAAACTGGACAGCCATTTGTCTGAAATGGTATAAGGTTTCCTGCCTGAGCAGGGGGTTGGACTAGATGACCTCCAAGGTCCCTTCCAACTTTACTATTATTATCATCATCATCATCATCATCATCTAGTCCAAGCTCTAGCAGGCCACAAAGAGGCGTTTTGGTGAGACTTGTGCCTACACCCAGCTCCTCCCCCTCCCTAGATCCATCCCCCCTCCCCACTCTGAATGGGAGAAGGCAGGAAAAGGGAGAATAAGACCGTTGGAAGGGACCTTGGAGGTCTTCTAGTCTAACCCCCTTGCTCAAGCTATACCATCCTAGATAAATGGTTGTTTAGAAAACTTCCAGTGTCGGAGCACTCACAACTTCTGGAAGCAAGCTGTTCCACTGATTATGAATAGAATGGAATGGAACAGGCATGGAATAGCAAAGTTGGAAGGGACTTTGGGAGGTCTTCTAATTTGTTCCGTCAGGAAATTTCTTCTTAATTCTAAGTTTGATCTCCCCTTGGTAATTTTCCATCCCTTACTTCTTATCCTGGGATGTAAACCGATATAAGTAACACGAGAAACCACTTTTCCTGGCCAGGGAGAAAATGATGCTCCTCTAAGTCTAAGGCAGTGTTTCTCAACCTTGACAATTTTAAGGCATGTGGACTTTAACTCCCAGAATTCCACAGCCAGCAATGCTGGCTGTGGAATTCTGGGAGTTGAAGTCCACATGCCTTAAAATTGTCAAAGTTGAGAAACACTGGTCTAAGGGATATGAGACTCACCTTGAAGGAAACACCATAATGGAGCAGAGACGATCCCCAAAGTTGTCCTCTCTCTGTCCGATACTCTCAATCGGGCCTCCGAAAAAAGCTCCTTCTCGGCCCCTCACAATCTGAGCACCTTGTGGGTCACAGTGTTCTTCTTTAGGGTCCCTACTCCTCCCACAGCATCCTCCAGCTATTAAAAATTGCTTTCAGCCATCGAGGCTCTTGGGGACTCCACCGCGTTAAAGACATTTTAAGAATGCAATGGCAAATATCTGTAGCTCAGGCGTAGGTCCGTTCTCCGAGCTTGTGGATTGGTTTCCAAAAATTTCATTACCAGGCTAGGTAACATCTTCAGCGGAGTTTAGGGGATGTTAGTGTTCGTCTCCCTACACTCTGCTGAAGATGTTACTTTGCCTGATAACGAAACATTCAGAAACCAACCCACAAGCTCGGGGAACGAACCTTCACCCAGATTTAAGCATCCCTGGTTCAAACGGGAAGATTAAGCCCAATGCAAAAGAACGATGCAAGATGGGCAACATGGCCAAACTTGGGGGGGGGGGGGCAACCAGCCCTCATTTTGGTGGCTTTCCTGGTGGGAAAACACCATGGGACCCCTCTGAGATCTGATTGGCATGATTGCTGTTTCGGTTGCCCTTTCAAGGTTTCGGCCTCAACTCTCCCTCAGATGAAGCCTCCCCTTGGATGGTTTCTCTCTTAGCCTTTAAGGGACTATCACTATGGGAAGCAAAAAGTAAGGGGGTTCCGAAGTAAACTGCAAATGTAGAAAAAGGAAGAAATGAGCAACAAAGCCCAATCGCTGTGCACTGAGAAAGACAGGGTAGATACATATTGGATATACAGTAGTGGCCAAAATTGTGGAAACCTTTTGGGAAAAGTGTACAGTAGAAATGCCACCTTTGGTTAAGTTTCCACCAATTTTTCTTCTAATTTCTTTATAACTGTAGCCTTGTTCGCTTAATAATACTATTTTATATCGCTTTCTGGGCAGCCAGTCAACTCTTTGCACCGTGACTTTAATTTTATGTTGTTTTACAAGCTCACTAAAGAACACAAAAAACCCCAACCTACTTGATAGCCATCACATAACCCACTGACAAATGTCCTCCTCTCAGCTTCAATACATGACATCAATAACTGAATCCTACTGTGATCTGATTGGCTCATTGCCAAGATGAGCCGAGGTGGCGCAGCAGTTAGAGTGCAGTACTGCAGGCCACTTTAGCTGACTGTGTTCAGCAGGTCAGCGGTTCAAATCTCACCGGCTCAAGGTTGACTCAGCCTTTCATCCTTCCGAGGTAGGTAAAATGAGGACCCAGATTGTTGGGGGCAATGTAAATATATATATATACATTGCTTACTGGTGTACACCGCTTAGAGAGTGCTTGCACTTAAAGCGGTATATAAGTCTCATAAATAAATAAAACAAGCCGACACCTGATTTGCTCTCTAGACAAAACCTCAAAAATACACTTTTCCCAAAAGTTTCCACAATTTTGGCCACTACTGTACAGCTCCTCTGAAGGTCCCCTCATATCAATCATCCTAGGTAAACTAGATAGGAAACACTAGATGAGCTTTATCTCTTTTATTGTAAGGCAACATTAACAGAATCCCACCAGTCTGAAAGCACGAACTTCCTGCCCACCACTCTTATCTGGTTTATCCATTAGGGCGGGTTCTTCCTACATTTCTTCCTCTGACTGTTCCTGCTTCTCTTCACCCTCTTTCCCCAAAATCATTCACACATTCCATTTCATCTCAGGATGTCTCTTCGCCTGCAGCTGTTTTTCCTCATCGGATGCGTTTAAACAGGGGTTCCTTTCAGTTCCTTTGTTTTCTTCAGAACTTAAGAAGCTTCTTGGATAAGAAGCAAAATGTTTTCAAAGGAAAAAAAAAAACCCCAAGGAAGTCCAGTTGCGTTTTGGAAAAATACCTTTGGGACAACCATGACCTGGATGACGGAGAATCTCCATAGACACGTTCCTTTCAATAGATTCCTGAATACTCATTAAACCTTTTCTTCACCACAGACTCCCTTTAAATACCTTTTGTGGCCAGAGACCCCCAATACTTAACTCAAGATTTAAATCATGACATTTCTTCAAGCCTTCGCTGACTACATTGTCTCCCCCCCTCCAGGGTTGAGAACCACTGCATTAAAAAAAATTCTAACATTTCTATGTTTGCTGGGAAAAGTCCTCAACCTCGGTCTCTTCAAAACGGGAGTGTAGCCCCCAAGACCCTTCAAAATACCATCTATATTTTTATTATTTTTTAAGGGGAAAGGATTGAATGGCTGGCTGACTGGAGGCGAAGAAATATCTCTAATGAACTTATGTGGGAAGGTCAATTTTCAGATAAATGGAACAAAGTAAGACCAACTGAGATACAAAGAATGTAGCCCTGCAACATCTAGTTTATAGTCGGCCTTTGTAATTTTTTTATCACGGAATTTATCATTTAACATTCCCACCGCAAACCCTTCATCTGAAGATGTCAATGTTTTTTTCTTCATTATGACTAATGTACACTGTGAACAGGGTGGGAAGTAACCTTAGATGCATCGGCCATGCCCGCATTCTCCATTCACGCCAGTGTGTGTGAATTTGGGTGTACGAGATGGGTGAGATACATTATAAGAATGGACAACGGTAATATGCCATGCCAGTTGCTCTACAACAGTGGTTCTCAAGCTTTTAATGCCACGACCCCCCCCAACCGGTCATAAGTCGAGGACTACTCAACCAGTCATAAGTCGAGGACTACTCAACTGGTGCAGCACCGTTTGCAGAATGGGACTTTTGGCGGGCTCAGCAGGGCAGAGACAGCCTGGACAATTCCTATTGGCTTTTGAAAGCCAATAGAATTAGACTCTATTCAAGAGAGTCTATTCTATTGGCTTTCAAAAGCCAATAGAATAAAAGTGAGTAGCACAGCTAAGGAAAAGGGGGAAAAAATGGCCGACTGCGTTGTTTGACGACCCCCGTGAAATGGTCGTTCGACCCCAAATGGGGTCCCGACCCACAGGTGGAGAACCACTGCTCTACAATGTACTGGAGTCTGGGAAGAGACATCAAGGTCAACCATGCAAACACTACAAAGACCATGTGAAAAAAAATCCCACACCACTGTGACATCCAGCCAAGGGAACTAAATGCTGACTTTTGTACGACTTTCAAACACGTTAAATTCAATCTTTCAATCAAAGATGAGAAATATACTTAATATTCAGGATATACCAGAAGTTTTTTAAAGCTACGTATAGAAAAAAAATGTGCAAGGTCATTCCAATAAGAGCAGTTTTCTCAAATTTGTAATGCTATGATCCCCTAAAATGTCAATCGGATCCATTTTTCTGATCACTCTGATATCACAGATTCAGGTATTTGCTTTAACTACTACTGTGGCACTAATGTGCCACTGAAAACCTTGAGAAATGCAGTGAGTTGGCAATACAACATAGTAAAAAAATCCCTTGGAACTAAATAGTATATCTTCATCATAAACAGAAAATAAGGTTCTAATTACTTAGGGAAAGGAGGACATAAAAAGAAATAGCGATTAAATACTTTAAAAAAATCTTGCTCATTAGGTGCACTGTTGGAACAGTAAAAACTACTATTAAAGAGGCAACGGCTACAATCATAAACTCGCTACTTTTCTGCTTTCAGGGGAACTGAGATTTTGCATCAAATAAATACCCAATTAAGCAGGCATGTACGTGTAAACATTTGGAAGATTTTCTCAGGTAAACAAGTTATGCAAATCAATTATATAAAAAAGCAAACAATAGCTTAAATACTTTACTAATGTTTAAATCCCAACATTTTCGATACGATTAAAACTGTTTTCCCAGCTTAACTTGCATATACCACTTTTCCACAAAGCTCGGAGCCTGACACTTCAGATGTTGCTTCTACCTAAAGCTGTTTGACCAGATACAGCATTTGAGAGGTTTTGGAGTAATGAATAGGACAATTTAGTAACAAATTTTCTTGAATCAGACCTAACTAAATAATACTTCCAGAACTAAGAAATCTATCCTGGGAGCTCTTCCCAAAATCATTGCATTTATTCAGTTTCTCCAATGGCAATCCTCTGAAAAAAAAAGGAAGACTGTTCACCTCAATCTTTTTCCAGACTTTACTGAGCTTCTTTTTGCATTTCATACTTTTATATCGTTTCATATCGCAGTAGATCCTTTTACAGAAATGAAGGACACTTTGGTCCCTACAGGCATTTCCATGATGTGAGTCATATTATGGGAAATCAGTTGATTGCTTTCCAAACACCATGCATGGATATTTTTCCCCTCTGGATTCTTTCATGAAAAGGGTCCACATTTCACGAGAAGTCTTTCCACATTCAATGGGAAATACTTGGAGTTCAATTCTGACGGGCTCAAGGTTGATTCAGCCTTCCAAGGTCAGTAAAATGAGGACCCGGATTGCCAGGGCAATATGCTGACATTGTAAACCACCCACAGAATGCTATAAAGCACTATGCGCCATTAAATATACATCCAAGTCCTATCGCTATTCCATACATTTCTAAGATTTCTTCCCTGTATGGATCCTCTTATGGGATGTAAAGTGACTTTTCAACGTGAAGTTCTTCCCACATTCCATGCACTGATACAATTTCTTCCGTGTGTGCATACTAATGTGGTAAGTAAGGGAGCTGCTTGTACTCAAACACTTTCCACATTCATTGCATTACATATGATTTCTCCCGTGTGGACCCTCTTATGGGAAGTAAGGGAACGTCTGTGACAGAAGTCCTTTCCACATTCCAGGCATTTATAGGGTTTCTCTCCTGTGTGGGACCTTTTATGGTAAGTCAGCTGGCCACAGACAATAAAGGTCTTTCCACAGTCTGTGCATTTATAAGGTTTTTCCCCTGTGTGGATCCTGTTATGGGAAGTAAGTTGACTGCTTTGATTGAAGCTCTTCCCACACTCCAGACATTTATAGGGTTTCTCTCCCGTGTGAATCCTTTTATGGGAGTTCAGATAACTGCTGTTCCTGAACCTCTTTCCACACTCCATGCATTTATAGGGTTTCTCTCCTGTATGAACCCGTTTATGGAAAACAAGGCCACAGCTTTGGCTGAAGCCCTTCCCACAGTCTATGCATTTAAACGGTTTCTCATTTGTATGGATCCTTTTATGAGAAGTAAGATAACTTTTTAAACTGAAATTCTTCCCACACTCCGTGCATTTATAGGGTTTCTCTCCCGTGTGAATCCTTTTATGAGAGTTCAGATAACTGCTGTTCCTAAAGCTCTTTCCACACTCCAGGCATGTGTAGGGTTTTTCCCCTGTGTGGGTCCTTTTATGGGAGGCAAGCGCACTGCTTTGACAGAAGCTCTTCCCACATTCTATGCATTTAAAGGGTTTCTCTCCTGTATGGATCCTTTTATGAGAAGTAAGAGAACAATTCATACTGAAGCTCTTTCCACACTCCAGGCATTTATATGGTTTCTCTCCTGTATGGATTCTTTTATGGGAAGCCAGGTCACCACTTCGCCTGAAGCTCTTTTCGCACTCCAGGCATTTAAAGGGTCTTTCTCCAGTATGGATCCTTTTATGAGAAGTAAGGGAACTCTTTACACTGAAGCTTTTCTCACAGTCTATACATTTATAACGTTTTTCCTGGAGACCAATCATTTTATGGGACTTCAGCCACTCTCTATTCCTGAACCTCTTTCTACATTCCATGAATTTATAGGATTTTTCTCCTGTGTGGATCCTTTTATGAGCAGTAAGAGAACTCTTTACACTGAATCTTCTTCCACAGACCATGCACGTATAGGGCTTTTCCCCTGTATGGATCCCTTTATGGGAATTTAGATTGCCTCTCCACGCAATGCTCTTTACAGTGTCCAGACTTTTGTAGGGCTTCTCTTTTGATTGGGTCATTTTATGGGGAGTAAGATTATTACTGTTGAAGCTCTTTTCAATTGTGCAATGGTTACTAAAGCTGTGTTTTGTTTTGAATCTTTTTCTACTTCCTCTACAGCTTGCTGTTCTGTTTTCTTTGGAATCACGTTGGGTGAGGAAGTGATCCATTTCTGCACATTCCAGAATGGATTTTTCTCTCCAATTGTAAGGTTGTTTTTTTTCATGTTTCCTCCTCTCCCGCTTATTTGCAGATGTTTCTTCTGGTATTTCAGTTTTGATTACTTGCAATGGAACTACTCTTGGTTCTTGGTAATTTTTATTCTTCTGTATATGAAATGCTTGGGGGGGGGAAGAAAAAGAAATTAGAAAAATCTACAATGTACAATATATAAATCTACATTTATCTATTACTGGGCATGTGCAGAGAAAGCAACGGGGGAAATGACAGCATGAATATTAGTTATTAACTTAAAACACAGCCTGGCTGCTCATCTTTTATCACTCTTGGAAGTTAAAAGTTTGGAGCAAAAACTGATCTTGACATCATGATGTGGCACATATTTTTTCTATATATATGATGCATCTAAGTTGCAACAACATACATAACATTGCAATATCATTGCAAGAATAGACGACATGGTATAAGCAAAAACATTCCCCTGTAATTATCTTCCCAGTAACTCTGCAATATTAATACAGGTCCCAAAGAAGAGACTTTGTCAGAATGACTGGTTATAAAACTAATTTCTTTCATCTAATTGAAATTGTGGTACTTAGAACACCATGCAGATGGACTGGAATTAATGTTAAGAGGGAAAGAATCTTAGAGATAAAATATTAAAAGAAGATCTGCACAATCTCTAAGCTGACAATTTTTCTTCAGAGGAACGTTTACCTAAAAAGGCTACAATCCTAGACATTTCCAACATGACTTCTCGATGCAGAGCTTTCTGGCTGGGATCAAGCAGCGACCACTCTTCACTGGTGAAATGAACGGCCACCTCCTCAAAGGACACAGGACCCTGAACAAAGAAGATTTACTGTGAACAGACTCAGGAAGAATTTGCGAGATCTCCTTTAATCTGCAAACGGTAAAGGCACACAGTTATAATTCTTGATTGGACATTTCTCTAGCTGGATTCAAAACATTATATGATGAAATGGGCAGAATTTACAGCAGACGGCTGACAGCCAATTAGGGCACATTTAAAGAGATCATTGTCAATTTCAGAAAAGGCAGACACAGCCACACACCTATGTATTAGCAATTCACCTGTGGAGGTCGTTAGCAGCATCAGGTTTCTGGGTGTATAGCTAACAAGTAGGCTAACTTGGTCGCTCAACAGTGAGACACTGATGAAGTGGGCATAGTAACACCTGCATTTTCTATGTCGCACGAGAAAAGTACATCTTCCTTCTCCTGTCCTTACATTACTGTCTAGTTTGGAATCATTACTGCTTCGGACAAGAAGGCGATGCAGAGAGTGGTGAGGATGGCAGAAAAGATTATTACTGCCTTCTACCACAGGATATAGCACATAAGCATTGCTTGAGCAGGGTCCGTAGGATTGTTTGGGATGCTACACATCCTCTTCATGACCTGCTTTATCTTGTTGCCTTCTGGGAGGAGGCTTCATGGTATCTGAAGCAGAACTTCGAGATTCAGTTAGTTTTGTTCCATATAATATCAACCTTGTGAACTCTCAAGTTTCCTCTTTCTGCTATATATGTGATTAATATGTGTGTGTGTGCGTATGCATTCATGTACGTAGCATTTGTATGTGTGTGTTATGTATGTGTAAGGGTATATACTTTCTTTTGAGAGCGAACAACAGAATTTCATTTATACTGTGTGCCGGTAGGCTCACACTAAAACATGACAATAAAGGTTATCTTATCACCTTGACTGACTGATGACCTCCAGTGCCACTAACCTGCCTTAATCAAGTGGCAGAGTGGGCCTTAGACATACCATCTACCAATGGCACCAACATTTCACATTTGCAAGAGGTAATCTCAAAAGGCAGGCCTAGTGTTGACTGATCACTGAATTCTAATTTCCTGATGCTTCACTCAGGAACAGCAGTATCATACCTTGAGCCCCAAAAGGAAAGTGGAAGTCTCCCATTACCAGCTCATCTTTTCCTTTCTTACCTGAGTTGGGGAACTAGGGACTCGCTCAACTCCACCAGTACAAGAAGATGATTTGATGAACGACAGCGACTCCATTTTGTTCACTGGGAAGGAGGAGACAGGATAGTAAAGAGATCAACCATCTTTTCTAGTTGGAATGCACAACTTAAGATTTCTTCCTGTTCTGCAGAGGAAATCTCCATCCAACAGTACAACACTCTGCCTTCAGAAAAGAGCACAACCCCACCTCGCACCAAGGAACAAACCTCAGTCAGAGTGCTCTCCTACCTTTTGGACAGTAACAAATCAAGGAAGCATACTCTTGGCAACCAAAGAGTTCACTTAACTATAGAGTCTCCCCCCACCCCCTGCAGCTTGAAACCAACATAGTCTATGTAAAACAGCAATTCGTGAAATGCTGGTACTGCAGGAAATGCCTACTGGTGATAATCCAGCAAGGATTTGTGTCAGAATTTATACAAAATTATTTAGCAAGCAAGGACAAAGACAGGTTGCTTTCCTCCCCATCAATGAGAACAAAGAGAAGACTCTCGCGATGATGAATCCAGAATGCAACCCAAGGCAATCCCCATAGATCTTCTATAAAGGAGGACTCATTGGAAGGTGGACCGAAGGGAGGAACTTTCTTCATGGGATTTAAGTCTTCTAGCTTGAGGAGAGAATTATATCTTTCTTGCTGGGTCACCTTCTATTAGGGTCTATAATCTATATAAATAAAAATGTAAACGTTTGTTTGTTCAAAATCTTAAATCTCCGAAAGTTCTTCACCGATTGCTTTGAAATTTTGACACAACGTTGCATTCGCATACGCGTGTTTTTATATACCTACTATTATATAGTCCCTTCGTATTTCCCATGAAGAGTATTTCTGACCTGGGGTCCTTCCTGTTTCTTCTCCTCTTCCAGGTTCAGCAGAAACCTTTCAGCCACTGGGACCACCAGGCAACTGGTATCCGCTGGCTCTCCTTGGTCTCTGAAGATCCTTCCAGTCTTGGAATCTGAATCTGAAGATGTGAGCGAGTGGTTTCTTTAGGCTTCCTCCCTCCTCTCGTCCCCACCCCTGAAATATAAGCAAAGAAAGGGAGTTAAGGAGTTAAGAAAATCCAGGATCTGGATTTTATTTTCTGTCCACAATGTGGCCAAACCCTCATATCCATCCGTGGGGATGGATGAGGCCAATGGGAGAATTGCTTCAAATGAGATTCTCTCTGGAAGAATGCCAGAACAATGATGATTAGGGGACTGGAGGCTAAAACATATAAGGAATTGGGTATGTCTAGTTTAACAAAGAGAGAGACTAGGGGGGACATGATAGCAGTGTTCCAATATCTCAGAGGCTACCACAAAGAAGAGAGAGTCAACCTATTTTCCAAAGCACCTGAAGGCAGGACAAGAAACAACAGATGGAAACTAATCAAGGAGAGAAGCAACCTAGAACTAAGGAGAAACTTCCTGACAGTTAGAACAATTAACCAGTGGAACCGCCTGCCTCCAGAAGCGGTGAATGCTCCAACACTGGAAGTTTTTAAGAAGAGACTGGACAGCCATTTGTCCGAAATGGTATAGGGTTTCCTGCCTGAGCAGGGGTTGGACTAGATGACCTCCAAGGTCCCTTCCAACTTTATTATTATTATTATTACTATTATTATTATTATTAATTTCACCAATGAGGTGCTCTAAATTATATACTTCCATTATTAATCTCCAAAACTCCAAAACTTTCAGGGAGATATTTAAGAATTGAAGCACATGAAGATCCCTTCCTATTTCCCAGGAGGAACATCTCTGACCTGGGGCCCTTCCTGAGCAGGGGGTCGGACTAGAAGACCTCCAAGGTCCCTTCCAACTCCGTCATTCTATTCTATTCCTGCTTCTTCTCCTCTGCCAGGAAGATCCTTGCAGTCTTGGAATCTGAACCTGAAGGAGACAGGAGTAGGTGGTCCTTTCAGTTTTTTTCTCCCCTCCCCCACTGTTTGATCTCCTGCATGCACAGCCAGGAGCAGTTATGGGGTGGCTCTCCGGCTCCAACCCAAATTGGGGATTCACAATCCAGCTATTTCCCCTCCCCTGGCGAGGATCTGGATCGCGGGACCCCCCTCTTGCCCGCCACCCTCCCCACAGATTCCCCAGGCAGCAACTTACAGGCGGTACCAACCCACGGGCAGACAGACCCGAGCATGCGCAGTAGCTTCCAGTCGGCCGACAGCGAATAGAGCGCCCTCTGCTGGAACCAGAGGACAGCGCCCGGACTTGGGAAATCGCTCGCGGCCATGGCAGCGCGGGGGGGGGGGGGCAATCTCAGAGGCCATCCAGGCCGACCTCTGCTCGGGGTGGCACCTGCGGTGGAGCTCGCCCTCTTGCCGAATGGCATCCGGGAGAAGCTACGGCGAGATCGCAGGCCTCCTCCCCGCGCCCTTGTGCGAATGGCAGTCTGCGGAAAGTCACCCGGAAGAGAGACCGCCTCCGTCCTTTCGGGAGCCCATCGAGAGCAACCCCGCTTCGCTTCCCTCCCCTCCCCCGCCCGCTTCCATTTGGCCCAGGCGGGGCGTGGTTGGGAAGGGAACGAAGACACGAGAGAGAGAGAGAGAGAGAGAGAGAGAGAGAGAGAGAGAGAGAGAGAGACCTCCGCGTCACGTGAGCCTGGCGAGCCAATGATGGGCGAGAAGCGGTTGACAGATTTTGGCGGGAAACGGAGTCTCTGGGTCGCCTCAGCCGCTTCTCTGCTGGGCGCGAATCTCTCTCCTAGCCTTGAGGAAAGGAAGGCGGGGGAGGACGGACG